GAAATTCTGCCTAAAATGGTTTTCTAGTTCATTACAGTAGTCAACAAAATCATCTGGAGGTAACTGCAGCCCACCAAAAGAATTAATGTAATCAACGCTTGCTCTACATTTCTCTATGCAGGAACATTCGTTTCCCAACTTACTGGATTTTTTTTTTTATTTCTGTTTGGCGGCTTTTTTATATCACTGCGACCATTTCTGGTCTATTGTGATCGCCGCCAATTTGTACTAGAGTGAACCACTAAACCCTGCTGATGTTAAGAACTGCAGGATTTTCTTAGGGTTACACTCTTTTATTTCATCTAGGCTTGGAAATTGTTTACCTAGATAAATATTACGTTTGTGCATGAGCGGTCCACATTCCCACAGAAGATGCAGTGGCGTTTCGTCTGCCTCCCTGCAAATTCTGCAGGTTCGCGTTTCGCTCAGCCCCAGGTTGAACATGTGCTTATTTAAGCAGCAGTGTCCAGTAAAGGCCCTTACCAGTATTCGTAAGGTTTTTCTGTTTAGCCCTAGCATAAGATTGTTAAACCTTTTGTCGTAGGCTCTAATTAATGCCTTGGAGTGATTCATTCCATTTGATTCAGTCCAGGTCTTGTTTGCAGTCTTAAGACATGCTATCATTAGGGTTCTTTGAACTAGGCTCTTAGGTATCCCACAGAAGGGCTCAGGGCCCTGCTGTATGCCAAGAGCTCCCCCTCTAGCGAGCTTATCGGCACACTCGTTGCCAATTACACCTGCATGACCCGGTACCCATCTTAGCACTACTTTGTTACTTCTTGCTAAGAGGTTTAGTCGGTCCATGCACTGCTCCACTAACTTTGATGAGACTATGTTTGAGTCCAGCGCTAGTAGTGCAGCTTGACTATCTGAATTTATATAGATAGTTTGATTTGTGTAGTGCTTAGACAAATTAGCTTCTACACATTCTAGAAAGGCATAGACTTCTGCTTGGAAAATAGAGGCAAATTGTCCGAGGTGTATGCTTTTGCTAAACCTCGGTTGCTCTCCATATATCCCACAGCCAACCTTTGCTTCTATTTTTGAGCCATCTGTAAACCAGATGAGAGATCCGTTTTTATGGATTACCTGGCTTTTAGTCCAGTCTTCCCTTGACGGAAATTCAATTGTATAATACTTTACAAATGAGTGCCGAATTAACATGGCATCAGTCGTCATACCAAGTAGCGGCATTTCTTGTAATGAGTCCTGTAGGGTCCTCATTTTTCGTGAGAGCCAATGAGTTCTGCCTTGGATTTTAGCTCTATGCATGCTGGCTTTTGCCTCCTTTTGTATGAAAAGGTCTAAAGGTGGCAGCCCGAGTAATGCATTTAGTGCCTGACCAGGGCACGTAGACATGGCTCCTGTGGTCATTAGACAGGCTGTTCTTTGTAGGCTGTCTAGTTTTTGAATGGCTGTCGTCTGCTTGGCCTTATTGGACCAGGCTACCGATGCATACGTGATAATTGGCCTCACAATAGCAGTGTAAGTCCAAAGTGTGTTTTTGGGATTTAACCCCCAATTTTTACCCAACATGCGGCCACTTATTCCCAATGCCATCTTGGCTTTACTTAGGACTGCAGTTAAATGCGGGTTCCACGTCAGTTTTTGGTCTAATGTTAGTCCCAAGTATTTGACTTGCGTGGAAAATGCGATTTGTTTGCCATTAAGCTTTGGCATGACTAGTTTGTCTAACCTTCGCTTGTTTGTAAAGGGCACAATGACAGTTTTGTCAGCGTTGACTGATAGGTCACTTCTAACACACCAGTCACTGACAATGTTCAGACCCTTCTGCATTATACTTGAAAGTGTGGATTGGCAGAAGCCCCTTGCTATGATTACCAAGTCTTCAGCATAGCCTTGCGCATCAATGCGGAGTTCTGCCAGTTTGTGTAGTAATTCATCCACAGCAAGTGTCCACAGTAGTGGGGATAGAACTCCCCCTTGCGGACATCCTCTTGCTGTGGATATATAGATAGTTGTGTCGTGGACGGCTAGTTTTGCTCTTCTGCTAGTGAGCATAGATTTTACCCACTTTACCGTTGTTGGGTCAACATTTTTAGTTATCAACCCATTTATCAACAGCGAAGTAGAAGAGTTATCAAAAGCACCTTCGATATCTAGAAATGCACATAGTGCTATTTCCTTGTCTTCTAACGCCTTTTCCACTTGGTCTATAAGACTTGTAAGGGCAGTCTCTGTTGATTTACCTTTACGATATGCATGTTGATTAAAGTGGATTGGGCTTTTAGTCAAGACTTCATCTCTTATATACCTATCCAGTACCTTCTCCATTGCTTTGAGTAAGAATGAAGAGAGGCTTATTGATCTAAAAGACTTTGGTTGGCTATAGTCTTTTTTACCAGTTTTAGGTATAAATATGACCCTAACAAGGGTCCATATGTCTGGTACATATCCCCAGGCGAAGCTCGCTCTGAAGATTTTGATCAGGTGAGGAAGGAGGATGTTCACCCCTTGCTGCAGTAAGATTGGTGGTATCCCGTCTTCCCCTCTCGCCTTGTAGGGCTTAAAGGAGTCTACGGCCCACCGAACATGGTTAGGTCTTATGATCTTGGCAGCTTTGCACCAGTCCTCACTGCGAGGTCTATGATAGCCTGCCTGCTGATTATTGATGTTCTCTAAGAGACACCCAGGGAAGTGTGCCGTGGCCAGCAACTCGAGGGTCTCTTTCTCTGTAGTTGTGAAGGAGCCATCTTCCTTCTTAAGAAGTCCGATAGGATTAGGTTTGGCTTTAGAGAGAAGTTTGTGGAGTCTTGCTACTTGTGGAAGGCTTTTGATTTCCTCACAGAACTTCCTCCACGATTCTCTTTTAGCCCTCCTAATCTCTTTGTTGTAGTCTGATAGAGCTTTCCTATAGATCTCCCAGACGTGCGTCTTTTTAGCTTTATTGAATAGTTTCCTTGTTTTATCTCTAAGCTTTTTCAGCTTTGAGTTCCACCAAGGTGCTTTTCTAGTTGAGGTCTTTATTTTGAGAGGGCAGCTCTCCTCAAAGGCTGAAATGATGCCCTTTGTGAGGCCTTCCACCGCTAGGTCTAGACTCTCAATAGTTCTAACTGTTTTAGGAAGGGTAGCCAAGTTCATCCTTAACCGGTCTTTGAATTCAATCCAGTTGGTTGCTCTAGGGTCCCTATAGGTTGTGGTTTCGGCTTCTAGCGTCGCCTTAACCTCAAAGGCTAGGTGTCGGTGGTCCGACATTGCATTTTCATTGCTGACACGCCAGTTCATTATATGCCTGGCTAGACTAGACTAACTTACTGGATTGCAAAACTGAGATAGTACTTACTCGTTATTAGCGTAGCGTCACACGCGAATCTTTTGTTTTTAATTTAACACTCAAACAATTCTTAATTAATAAACTATACCTTCTATTTGAAATCCTATTCAGAAAATTTCATGTTGATGAAAATTTCTATGTAGATAATTTTCATCATGGTTTTCACAACTAAACAAATTTCCAAAACTAAATTTAAATACAATTAACGCAGATGGAACCGCGTGATGTAGTTCGTCAGAGATGATGCTTATTATTTTATTATTTGCTTTGAAAAACTTCGACTTCAAAAAAAACACCAAAAACGTACAAAATATCTGATAAGTAATTGGTAGGTAGTTTTCATTTACTAGAGCACAGATCATATAATACCATACTAGACTATAGAATATATAAATACGTAATCAGATATTTTCGAATTCGGTGCGCTTTAATTTGTACATATAATAAGGGAAAACTGCCAATCACTTTTTTTTTTAAATCCAATTCTAACGTATTGGGCTTGTCAAATCAAACCAAATAAGGCCAAACTCAAAGTATCTACATTAGCCGTTGAAGAGTTCCACGGCCACCTATCCACCTTCTGGCCTTACCATCAGATCTGGTCGAGGATACTGAACCACTGCACTATCAACGAAAATAGAAACACTTGCAAAGTTTCTAGTCAATATGACAATTAGAAGTAAATTAAATTTTCATTAGCAATTCTTCTTTAGGGGTGGTATTATTTTTGAAATTTAAATGCAGCTAAATTGTGTTAATGAAAGTGTTAATATATAAATTGGTTAATAAATGTCAAAGTTCTGAGGTAACAAACATAAAAAATACAGCCGAATTGAGCACCTCCTACTTTTTTCAGTTGATAAAATAACACTATATTCGGTCGGTCGGAGACATACAAGTTTTATACTAACTGCGAGTCCTTAGTTACGTAGAGTACTTTCTATTATTTTTTTTCTTTTATTGCGTTTTTATTATCTTTATATTAATAATTACATTGGAAGTAATAAAGTGTATTGTTCATAAAAAAATTACAACTTTCTCACACAGTATATTTCGAAGCGCCATCTGTATTTTTGCCGATGTACTAGCTAGTGAGGGATCAGCTAGTGAGGGACAGCGGGTGGTGTCGCTTTTATTAGTTTTGCAAAATGTTACGAAAGTTTCTAATAGTTTCAAAATATGGTCCATAGATGTCATGATTATTTTTTTATATTACTAATGAGGTAGTACATTTTTAACGATAAAACTATTGAAAAGATTATAAAAATTAATATACATTTTTTCACGTTTTTTTGCTTAAATGTTTTGCAAGTGATTAAAAATAAATTTTGTACATGATAGATAAAAATATACAAGTTGATGACCGGAAGGGCTTGTTATACGGAACCATAGCAACTGGTAAACGCTCGCTATTTATATGAGCAATTATTCGTGAGGACACTGACCATTAAAACGACGTGACGCGATGGTCGATACAAAAGATAGCATCGACCTGTGTGAAGTGATTAATGTACAGAAATGACGTATGGAGATTCCATATTCGAATGTGTGTTATACGTCACCGCGACACAGGAACCCCAGGGCGGTAACAGTAAAACGTCGCGCGTCTCCTTGTTGGGTGTCTCGGTGGGATAGATGTGCTGTATAGTGTTTGCTGTGTGCGAGGAGATATTGCTGCTAGCGCTGCAAGCGACGCGGCTGACGAATGAGCGTGTCGGTGCGGGCCGTGCTGGTGGAGGGCCCCGCCTCGGGCCCGCGCCTCAAGGGCCCGTACACGTATGCTAGTACGCCCCGCGCGCTTTACAACAATGCCAAGCTTCGGAGAGATCCCTCATGGTAAGTCCACGCAAATCTTAGACTATCGTCTAGAGTTGATACATAAGTAGTAGTTTGCTATGCATTCAATCATCATCAATTTTCTCAAATACTTTCCCATAGCGCGTATAAAATAATAATATTATTATAATTTTATTGATATGATTTGTTGTTTATGTCAATTTGCTGACATGACAATTGACAACATCATAGAATGAAATTCCTAAATTTTCCTTTTAGTAACTGCTGAAAATTTGAATAGCATTCTGCATTAAAAATATCTATTTGAAAATGTTTGTATTGTAGTTTCTATAGTCTAAGTAGTAATGCTACAGTCCTACACTTGAAACATTATTTTCGTTAATTCTGATATAAGTGTAATTAAATTAAACTGTGAAGAACAGTATCGGGACGAATCTCATGACGCGCTCTGTCAAATGTGTCGAAGGTAGAGACAGTTGTTACGTACTGCAGACGCCAGACATGCAATAGGTATATGAATAACTCCTATTAACTATATAGGTTTAAAGTTTTTTTACATATATAAAGTGGACATTATTACAACGTTATTTATTTTTTTAAACTTCTGTGAACAAATAATATTTATACAAACCTATTAACTAGGTACCTACATTCGATATACATATTGTAAGGAACTGTTACGAAAGATAAAATATAGGTAGATAATAAATAAGTAGGTACTTATATTATTGTCAGTATTTACTTTATTATGTGCGACATACTTACACAGTGAGAGTATTCGTAAGAGTGCCGTGAGAGCTGCACACGATTTTAGTTTTCAGCCAGCTAAAATAGACAGCAGAAATTAAATGTTCAAAAAAATACTAGTGGGTTTATTTATTCATACAATATTGTGGACCAATAAAATCCTTAATTGTAGCGTGCTCAGTAGTGGCCCCGCGCGGAGCTCGCGTGCGCAACGCGACGCCTCTACACGCCGGCCACCAGCCACCGACAGTGGATAGACGATGCTATCGCAAGGTTAAACTTTATATCTGATGATTTACACTTAAAATTGTTACATTTTTAAAATTAATTACTTTTACCTTTTTACTAGTGGTCGTCTCTTAATTTTAAGCTAAATTACCTCATGCGATTCTACTTCACATGGGGCTGGTAGAGCTGTGTACTTAGATGTATAAGACGAGACAACTCAAACTACATTATTAAATTCACTCAATGTACTCTGTACTCCCCTGCGAGTATTCTCTTGAGTAACATTGTACGTAATCGATTCGAAAGGAAAATGCACTGCTACGCTAAAAGCTAATCAAACTGGTACATAAAATTTTATATTAATTATGTATTTTATCAAACCGTTGTACTGAGATAGAAGTCATCAAAATTAAAAAAAAAACATACAATGAATATTAAACATTCAACTAAACTTCGTCCAGCAATTTTGACATGATGTAAACACGCTCAAACAGACATAAAATCTAAAAGATTTCTTTATAACAGATATATGATATTATGAATGAATTATGATGAAATTAGAAAATACTAGATAGGTATTATAATATGGAGCTGACGAGTGATGGAGATGGATGGCTACACTGATGTAAAGGCAACGTTATAACAATATCACTTATCTAAGCATATTACAAATTACTTATATATAGGTACCTACCTATTAAATTTTAATTGGCATATGACATCAAAAACCGAGTTAATAAGAGACTCTTTAATTTGATTCCAAAGCCGACAGACAGATTCCATTCTCGTCTTACAACCGCAAACACCTATAATTAATATCTATACATATAATAAAATTGAAAAATCTTATTGAAATAAACATTATTATCGATACAGAGGCCGAATCTATAGTTTTTACAATTTTTGTCTTTCTGTCTATCTGTCTGTCTGTTACCGCACCACAGAAAAACCACTGGAGGGATTTTGATGAAATTTGGTATGGTGATAGCTGGTTATCCGGGTCAACATATAGGACACTTACCGCAGGAAAATATCTCATTTCTGAGAAAAAATACAAAAACTGCAATGTAAGAGTATACTAATATGTGAAACCTAAGAATTTAATTTTGGTCATCTGAACGCGGGCGGAGCCGCAAGATATGCTAGTAACGAAATATAATTGCATGTACCTACATACTTTTGTAAATAATAACAACATAGGAAAAAAATAAAGCCGACAATGCTTTAAGATAACAAGGTATGAACTTTAATTATAGTTAAAACTAGCAGAACCCGCGGCTTCGCTCGTGCTAAAATTATAAAAAACTCTAAAAAGGTAGGTTTCATATAAACTCTCATGTCCTATTTTACCCCCTTATGGAATGAATTTCAAAAAATGGTAAAACACGTATTTATTTAATAACATTGAACAGCATTAATACCATTCCAAGTAATTTTGATCATAAATTTTTTTTTTGATTTGTATTATAACGTGTTTGCCTGTGGGAATGAGAAGATTTACCGCGATAAAAAGTAGCCTATGTCACTCTCCAGCTCTACAACTATCTTCACACCAAAAATCACGCCAATCCGTCACTCCTTTTCGACGTGAAAGAAAGACAAACAAACACACAAACAAACACACTTTCACATTTATAATATTAGTATGGATATGGATATCAATCAATGTGTGATGTATTTTTACTCCTACCTACATATCGTAACAGCATTGCTTTGCTTTGCATCGGCTAGCTTCAACTTCGAAAATATCTAAATAGGTAGGTATCCATAGCAAATACAAACTCACGTTCTGTTATTTTTTACTTTTTATTGTATGGAAGTCGGTATTTTTTTAAGTTTTTAGTTTTCCATTTTTAGTGTAGACGTAGTAGTAGCATATTTATAAGAAGAAAATATTTGAATAATTAGTTCGCTTAAGCCATTCACGTTAGTTTGTTGCTAATTTTTATATGAGGACTAATAAACTAAAATTCGTTTTTATTAGTAACACTAAAAAATCGGGATCTAAAAAATCCAATTCTAACGTATTCGACTTCTCAAATAAAATAAGCCCATACTCGAAGTATCTACTAGTAGTAGTCTATAGACGAGTTCGACTATCCTTATGGTCTCACCATCAGATCAGATCAATTTTGAGATGTTAAATTTTCATTAGCTATGTTTCCACCCTAAGGGTGATACCTTTTCTTCCAATATAAATGGAACCAAACGAATAGTATACACTTACAAAGAAAAAAAGATATTTTCAAATCATTTTAAATAAAACTAATATACAAAATTTCCATGTCACAATGTTAGTTACCGTACTCCTCCGAAACGGCTTTACCGATTTTTACCAAATTTTATACGCATATTCATTAGGTCTGAGAATCGCCTACTATCTATTTTCAGCAATCATGATCAAGGGAGAGACTGAGGTGTTAGATGTCTCGAAGGTATAGTTGTTACAGACAGCCTACCCACAAATAACAAAATAAAAATAGCACCAATTACCTTACAATATATTTTAACTTTAAACATTTTTATAATATTAATTAGTTTTATAATTGAATATGGAATATTATTTATTTAATTTTTGCTGTTATTATTATAATTATTACAATTTTAAAAATATTAAGTAGTAGTAAATTGTCTTTTTAAATAATAGCAAAAGATCCGAAAAGATAGTTTTATTTAAAATGTCAAATATTCGCGTAAATCTAAAAAAGTATTATTTTTTCAAATCAGTCAATAAATGACGGAGTTTTGATGTAACAAACATAAAAAAGCAACTGAATTGAGAGCCTTCTCCAAGGTAAGTTCAGACGTTCAGAGTCAAGTTCCACTAAACACTCAGACCTTCTGAGTTATTACTTTTGATTAGTGTTATTTCTTTTTCGCGTTTTATTAATTGCCCTAAAAAGCATAATAAGAACTTCTTTTTGCAGAAATTATTACATATTTTACATTTACGCAATGGAGGTGTTTCGCGGTCGTTAAGTACTGACCACTTAGCCGTAAGGGTTTGCGTGAAAGATTCAAAGTCGTGATAAGGTTTTGGATCATACGTTGCTATTAACTTCGGTTAAGAAGAGCATTGCCCTTAACCTTGGTTTGTGAAAGGGTGAGGGAACTAAAAGAGGGGGTTTGAGGGGGGGGGGGCAAGAGTACCGCGTGGCCGCCGTCGCTGTGGCAACCGTCACCTGCCGACTTCCCTCTGACTTACACCACTCCTTTAAGGTGCCAAAAATTACAACATGAGCGACCACTACCGACTTAACTCGTCTCAACTTCAAAACCGACATGTATTGTCCTGTAAAAAAGCTTTTCCAATGTGTGTCTCTGGAGCCATTCATTTTAAAGTAATTTTGGATTTATGAGTAAACTAGCGACTCACCCTCACTTCGCTCGGGTTCGTCCCTAACTTGATTCCCCATACAAACTTTCGGCCCCATTTTCACACCCTTAAGCAATGATTTCCACGATAAAAATTATCCTATATCCTTCCCAGGGTCTCAAACAATTTTCTTACCAAATTTCATATAAATCGGTTCAGTAAATAGTAGACCCTTACAACGTCACAAACTCACAAACTTTTAACCTATTTCTAATATTAGTATAGATTAAATAAAAATGAGTTTTATAATAACTGAAATACTTTGTTTTGTTGTTTGCACGAGAAGTACATAGCTATGTACTTAGGTAGGAGATAGTGTAGGGAAAATAAAAGATGTGGTGCTTTGACCTTTGTAAACGGTACTTTTTAAACTCGCATGAAAAAAAAAACACTTGCATTTATTTGTAGACATATTATTTTTTATTAATGCAGTTTTAGTTTAAATCAAAATCAGTATTTTAAACTATACTCTTAGATTTCTCCAAGTAACAAATTCTCAACGAAAAATGCACGAAAAGTATTTTATTTATGCGACAACCATGATTGCCATATTACTACTAGTTCACACGGAGCTCCTACATGGATGATAGTGCAGGAATCTTTTATGGTACAAACAAGTAAAAATAAAAATACAGGCGTATAATACTAGTATTGACGAAGTCTTTATTTGCGTTGGAAAAATATATAGTATAAAGAATTTCTTTCCGTATTATTAGAGGTAATAAAGTGCTCTAATATCTTTATCAAATTGTGATCTAAGGGGTGTAGAGACGGTCGAGTCGCCGCGCCGCGCCGCCGCGCTGGGCTACTCGCGTAGCACCTTGTAGGCGCGTCGCCTCTGCGTGGCCGCGGGTTGACGCACGTCCGGTCTCCCTGGAAAATATTAGCTTTGGGTACCAAAAGTCGACCTCTGCGATCGACCTCTGTTACACGTATACATAATAATATGCGTATATTTTACATTTTTTATTGACGCAATTATGTAAAACCAAATACATATAACTACTAATATTATAAATGTGAAAGTGTGTTTGTTTGTTTATTTGTTTGTTTGTCCTTCTTTCACGTCGAAACGGATGGCGGTTGGCGTGATTTTTGTTTAGAGATAGTTGGAGGGCTGGAGAGTGACATAGGCTACTTTACTGCGGGAGATCTTCTAATTCATAATACAATCGCAAAAAATTTTTATGTTCAGAATTACTTGAACCTTGGTATCATGTACGAGTTGCTAATTCGTTCATGCTTGGTATTAATGCTCTTCAATAAAATTAAATGAAAACGTATTTTTTCGAAATGCATCCTATAAGGGCGAAAATAGGCGATGAAAGTTTGTATGAAACTACCTTTTTAGAGATTTTTTTGTAGTTTTAGCGCGAGCGAATTAGTATTACATAAAATGATGAAAATTAGATTTAATAAATTCTTTTTTGATGTGATTATTAAATATGAATATTTAATTTAGCAACAGCGTCCACATCTCGCCAGCGCTCGCAGAGGCGCGGTATGCTGTCACAGTCATCGACTAAACAAAGTAATTCATTACGACAGATTACTAACTGGTGTTCGCTATCTGCTATCTGTCGGCGCGGCCGCGGCGGCTCGCGCACGCTGCAACCTGCGCTTATTTATCGCGCCTCTTGTTTACTCACAGCGATTAGTTCGCAAAACTTCGTGGACGCGCTCGGTAGTTACCTATAGCAGTATTTCCTAAAATAAATAATTGTTTAATAATATATTTTGTCTAATATATTTATTTTAACAGTGTATAGTGTATATTTCATTACTTCATCTAAAAATAGTTTTATTATAAAAATATTAACTTGTCGTGGTAGTAGGACACAAGCGTAAGATTTATAATAATGCGATCATAATCTAGGTATATAAAATTATAAATATGTCTGACTTATTTTACTCAAACAAAACTGTATTTTAAACTGTTAGGCACCCTCATATTTGCCGCCGCAAGCCCACGTGGGCGCTTGCGCGACTGTACATTCGTGCCGCATTAGTGTATGTGCGGCGCTGAAAGACTCCAAGTGTCCGACAGGCCACCACCGCCGGCCACCGTCGCCGCGCGCCGGCCACTCGCCCGCCCGCCGCCGCCTCCACCACTCGCGCCCCGCGACACTGACTCACCACCCGCTTCAACAAATCTTACATATCGCAAGTGTTCGTAGCCTTCACGCTCTAAGCAAAAAGTCATGTGACGATGCCAGTGATGCTTGATATTGCGAGTGAATCGAATGCGTTCACCGTTATAAACCATGAGGAGGACAAGCATAGCCCGAAGCACACGGCGCTTCCGCGCAACGTAAACGTCGTCAAGCCACTCCAGCGCGATGACGGCCGCACGCACCTGCCGAGTGCCGCGAAGGAACAGATGACGGAGGGAATGGCCGCCGTCGCGCCGCAAACCATTCTCGATCCTAAATTCACGCGGGCACTTGATTTTAAGCTACGTCGGCTAAAAGAGAAAGAAATTTTGGAAGCCAACTTACGCAGACCGACCCGTAATCGACGCCGTCCCGGAACTTTTGCATTTTCAAATCCCAATCTGACCTGGAAGGATCAAACTCCGCCAAAGAAAATGATGAGCCAATCTCAGCCTCGAATCGACACGATATCTAGCGATAATGATAAGGGGAAAATTACTATGAAACTTGACAAATCTCCTGTAGCGGGCAAGAACCGAGGTAGAGCCGCGGGCAGCACTGATACGGAAAAACCACGCTTTATTACTACAGTAAAAACAGGACAGTTTTTGTTGCCACCACCGGATGTGGCTTGCCTTCTGGGACTGGATACTTTATACCCACCACAGGAGAGGGAGAAAATTGTTTATTCTTATGCAAGTAAACCAAAAGCTGTCACGACACGATCAAAGCATTCGGTATCTGATAAGAAGAATGAAGTCATGCCTAATGGAGTCCCCTCCGGCATTTCCAATGTGAAACGTGCCAGCGGTGGTGAACTTTTTAAAGGTGTCCGAAGTATAATAGCAGGTGTCGCTGGAATAAAGCACCTACTTGAAAAACAAGACCATGTGTTAGTATCTATCACTTTTCCGTTTTTTCAACTTTTATATTGTAATATAATACAGATACAGTACAATTTTACAGATACATACGTTTCATAGTCTTTCACAGTGCATACGTTGCATCGATTACAGACGCTGTCCAGCAATGCCTAAACCAATATCAATTTTATTGAGTGTCTTATCACATTATTAGCTCACCGTCAAATAATAAACCATATCCACTTTCATTAAAATCATGATAAAAATGCAATTCCATTTTAAAAATTGTTACACGAGTATCCTTACTTAATTTTATAAATATCACAACGATAAGTAGAGAGGTCAGGCTATTATTGGGGGTCGGCGGCGGCCTACTTCCGCCCGCCGCCGTCCCTCGGCCGGCGGGTCACTACCCTGCAAGCCTTATATATTATCTTATCTTGTAATGAGAAACTTTTAAGCGCTACTTATATTTTATGGATGAATAAAATATATTTCTGCTATTTACATACATCACATAATAGAAAATTAGCCATTCCTTACAGACCTCCGGTTTTTATGAAACCGCGTATTACATGCAGCTTAAATTATATCCTTTAAGTCCAGTCCTCCGCGCCGATCTAAATGAATTTTAATTTTTAACTATGTTTGTAATTAATTATTAGTCACATATTTAAAAACCCTTTAAATTATACTTTTTTAGATCTGTTTTAATAGTTAAGTATATTTTATTATTAAGTTATTTCAGACGCATCTATACCAACCCACAAAATTATACATTAATTGATAAGATAAGAGAAGTGGTACTGAAGTACGTTGCAGTTAAAAACAAATAGTTTAAGATTTCAGCTACTTTTTGTAACACCCCATCGTTGGGCTCGGGTTTAATACACTTCGTTCAAACACGCTCTAACTTCTTATCTTGTATCGAAGGAATAAAATGTAATAATGAAACCGTAACTATAATTAATGACTAGGGCGTTGGTTGCAGCGGCAGCTTGGCGACGGCGGCGACGGCGGTCACCGGCGGCACGGGCTACTCCAACGTGATGCACGACAAGCGCGTCGTGCGCGGGAGCACTTTCGCTACGCATCCGCACGCTGCTGTGAGTTCTGCAGTTATTTAAACATCACACTTTGAGAATTACACAGTTATCTAAATATAGACTAAATCTATACGATGAATATAGCCGTAATAACAATGAGAGATTAATTAAACTACGTATGAGGGTGACAAGAAGTGGCTTAAGCTGGCATTGATATTATTACACGTCTAAGACCAAGTCTCTAAAACATTTGTAGGACCGGTTTGGTCGCTAAACGCAGGTCAGAGCTGATTTAAAAAATTCAATTGGGCTCGTACCTACCTCTTATCCACAAAAATAAATATCTGCTAGCTTTATTATACTATTGCGAGTATATCTAATCATTAGATTATGTTTTACCTAATAGTTATTAACATAAGTCTAAACTTATCCGTTATTAACTTGACCTTCTCTATCTTGTCGCCAAACTGTCAGCTACTTCGTGTCCTCTCCATTCTACGTGACAACGGAGAATTAATCTGTGCTCAACTGGCACGCTTTGAAGCCATTAAAAAGGAAAGTGAATTGAACGCATTTTGTATTATAAGTACTTTTATGAAAGTACGAGTTTCAAATTACATTCGTTTTTGTTTACTCTATGTATGTTTTAATTGTACACGACACGACACAACCATAAAAAGTTTTATAATAAGTTTAATATTTAAAGTTGCTGTTTATTATACAATTTACATTTCTCAATTTAATAACTTTTGATCTCATTACGTACTCATGTAACATGTGACGAATTTTTGAGCTACAAATTTCAAGTCATCTTTCATTACTAACTATACTAGGTAAGTGTGTATATGTAAGGCTGGCAGATCTGTACGACCGTACGACGTACATATGTAGGAGGTAGGTGGTCGACACTCGACACTCGACGGCTGCGTAATCCGATATTCACAGCGGCTAACGACTGCGGTCAACGTTTCTGCCCTGGAAGTGGGCCAATTAAATCGCAGGCGACTCCATTCTCTCATGTAACATTTTTCCACTTTGATATTTGTAGCCCCATTATGTTCCTCATACAATACTAGTGAACGTTTTTATAAAAGAATATTTCTTTCTGCGATGTTTTAAATCAATGGCTCCCCTACCACAAATTATATTATTAAATAGGTTGTTTTTTTTTATACAAATGTATCCATTTAAAATTTTAAGAAAACATTATAATGTACATTGTACCATTTTACATGACTAACGCGATCAAAACAAGATAAAAGAAATGAAATTATGTAACGTGAAATGGTTTTGAAATTCTAAAATGTACAATATAAATATTATATTGTACATTTTAGTTTACTTTACTTTACTTATTTTTATACGTACGTAAGTAAACTAAAACGTTCATGGTATAAAAAGCAATATATAATTTTAATAATTAAATAAAAATTTAACCTTTATAAAATTCTGGCTTAAAATTAATAAAATATATTTTTGCTTAAAAGACCTTATAGTAGGGGAGCCCAAGAGGGGATTTTCTGTAGTTACTCGAGCGCGGCAGCATCATCATAAACTTTATAGTCGATTTTTGCCTCTTCGGCTTGTGCAAATCGGCAGATTATTGAATTGGACACTTTTCAGGATGTGACTAGCCTACCACACCTTAATCTGACGGTTTCAAGTATTTCTACCTTATCAAAACATTTTTTAAATATTTTAATCGGCTTCCCTAGACGCGCCCCTTTATATAGAAGACTTATATTGTGGTGAAAGTACTCAATAGAGTGCAAGGTAACCTCTTTTATGTTAATCTGCCGCGCTCGAGTAACTACAGAAAATCCCCTCTTGGGCTCCCCTACCATTAACCTTACATTTGATAAGACCGTTCAAACTTCACATTGACAAGAGGGAGAAGTCGCAATAGGCAAATGGACAGGTGCAATAATAGCGATCCTCGCGCTGCAATTACTCGTCACTAACCAACACTGCATGGAACTAATGCCTGCGGCCTGCCCCCGAGGGCCCGAGGGCCCGAATGCTCGAGTGCTAAGTCAACAACAGACTCGGGCCGGGGCCCTGTGCACACAGTGTACCTAATACCTATACACAGCAATTATGTCGAATTGATATCACGTATACCATTCACTATTCGATGTAGTTCTTAAATTACTTCATCAATATAAAAGTTAAATATGAATGTATGATATAAATTATTAACATAATCATATCAATTTAAGTCTGTTTCATGCTACGGTACCCTCGGTGTGCGAGTCAGACTCACACTTATCAATTATTAATAAAAAACATCTTGTTAGAATCAAGTAAATTACCTATATACTATGGAATCTGTGGTACTTGATACGGATACATGGTATAGTTTGGAATCGTATCACCAGCAAGTAGCGGGTAGACTTTGTGATACATGTATGTACCTACGTAGTCATTCACAGTTATTCGACACGTGCAAATATATGTAAGCGATACGCGGTGAAAATTAGCTGAGACAAGTAGCATGCGGGGCGGTCCGGGGTTCGATGCGGGCGGCGATCGATATTGAAATACATTTATATAATATTAGCAGAACCCACGGCTTCACAAAAATGGTAGAGCATTAATACCAAGTTTCAAGTAATTCTGATCATAAATATTTTTTTGGGTTGTATTATAACGTGTTTTCCCGTGGGAATGAGATAATCTCCCGCGGTAAAAAGTAGCCTATGTCACTCTCCAGCCCTTCAACTATCTCCACACAGAAAATCACGCCAATCCCTCAATCCGTTTCGAAGTAAAAGAAGGACAAACAAACAAACACACATTTATAATATTAGTATGGACTTACGAGTACTACATGTACGCTATCTTAGAATATGTAGTTGCAATTATTCATATTATATTATTAGTCATTATTTTTTTTTATTTATTTTTTTAATTTTAATTTAATTATTTATTTCAGGCAATATTTACAAAAAGATCTTAAATATGTAAACAGAGGCCCATAGCATAATATATACCTTAAAACTAACATATATATTTAAGTAGCTCTATGTACTAATCAACTGCCTCGGTGGTGTAGTGGCTAGCATGTACGGCTGCACACCCGGAGGTCCTGGGTTCGAGTCCCGGGTCGGGCCAAGTTTAGTTATTGAGTCTTTCTGTGTAGAAAGCCTCAGTAGCAGCCCGGAGTTGGGAAGTTGGCGGTGTTTCACCCCCGTGCCTCGGAGAGCACGTAAAGCCGTCGGTCCTGCGCCTTAACTCTCACTGGTCGTGTCGAGCAGTCGTCCCACCGGAGTATGAGAGTGACAGGAATAGAGAGTGCACTTGTGTCTGCGCGTACACTTGTGCACTATAATATCTCCTGCGCAGTTGGCTAGTCTCAATGAGATTGGCCGCCGTGGCCGGAATCGGTCAGGAGAACATCATCATCATGTACTTAAACCGAAAACAAATGTCACCTTGATATTTCCTTATCTTCTTTAATTTACAGTCACGATGAAAGCTTGTTCTTTCACAAAATAATTATTCGCTTTTGAATGTCACTTGCTACAGCAATTAATTATAATATTTAAACAGACTTCTGCAATTATTATAATGAAATTATGTAGAAAAATAACGAAAAGTTCTCGAAAAGTTTTATTTGTTGATGTCCGGTATGCACCACGTGACAGGTATTGATTTTCACCTTGATTACTCATCGTGTACTGACGAGTTTTCTTTAGTTGTGTCATTTTTTCAAATTTTGTAATAATATAATAATTATTTTATATAATAAAAAAGAAATTACTATTTCATAAAAGCATTAGCAATATGAGTGGGTATTGAATGTTTTTGTATCTCAATGAACAGCTTACACTGTTGACGTAAGTTGAACCGAGGACGGAGGAATGGACATCAATTATGGGTAATTATATAATAGCCGTTTATTTCCTTTCTTATGAAGTTGGAATCAATTTCCCTACAGTCATGCTAAATACTAATACTTTCATACTATTTTTTTGGAAAGTTATACAAATGTAATGTATGTATAGGTATACCTATTGCACTTTTCTGTCAACGTATTATATCTTCTTATATACCTATTATATTATAGATATATAAATAAAAATGAATGTTCCTTTATCTGTTTGTCCTCAATCACGCGCTTGAATGACACGAGGGTAAATTGCTAATCATATATATTTATAGCACCCTTAAAAATGAATTGACTATAAATATAAATATTTGTTTAAATGATAGCAGAGCCTGCACTCATATATGTATGTAGAGGCAGGAGCTGACCGCTCCACCAGACAGCCTTCATTGTAACATGACCGATTGCGGTCACCTATCTCTCTGAGACTAGCCAAATGCAGGAGATATTATTGTGCACAAGTGTACGAGCAGACACGAGTGCACTCTCTATTCCTTGCACTTTTACATTCCGGTGGGATGACAATGTGACACGACCTTTGAGCTCAGGCACAGGACCGATAGTTCTACGTGCTCTTCGAGAAATATAAACACCGCCAATTTCCGAACTCCGGTCTGTCACTGAGACTTTGTCAGCAGAAAAATTCAATAACGACACTTGGAATGACCTGGGTCTCGTACAAAGGATCAACGGATCAGTAGCAGTAAATAGCCAATATACCACCTAGGCATTGCAACATATTGTGTCCACTGTTCAGGGCGACGGGCTGGAGAGCAATGCGGCGCGCGCGGCGGCCACGCGGCGGCGGGCGCTGGCGCGGCGCGCGGCTCGGGCGCGCCTGCGGCCCGGCACGCCGCCGCCCGCGCCCGGCCGCCGCCACCACCCCATACAGACTGAGTACTACCTCGAAGAGGTAAATTAGCCTCAATTACTACATCATATTATATGCAAAAGTTTGTGTTTGTGTTTGTATGTGTTTGTTTCTCCTTCACGCTGAAACCCTTAGAAATGTAGTAGAGTGAAGTAAGGGTAAATTGCTAGTCACTACACAAATTAAAAATCCCCGCCGGTGATTTTGTGTTGGTTCGAGATAATTTCAGAAACTACTGCATGAATATTCATAATATGCACTAATATTATGTGTAATGTAAATTAATTCAATATTTTTAATGTTTTTACAGTATACAAAGCCTTTAACATTTATAAACACCTAAGTATAATTTCAACTTAGCAAAAAAAATAGATGGGATATATCATATGATAATAGTGTACCTACACTGTACAACGACGTTCTTACAACCGAACAAGTTCTCAATTTGATCTGTTTTCATTTTTGTAGCTATTTGACAAAGGTGTTGAAATGGAAATTGGAGTTCAGACGGACTTGTTCGTGGACCGCCCGGCCACGCCGGTCTACGTGCCTGCAAAAACCGGCGCAGACGCCTTCACTCAAATATATCCTGGCGATGTAAGATACTTTAGAAACTTTAATTAATCAAAACATATAATGTATATGATCTCGGATCTATAAACTAATAGATAAATATTTTGGTACGTACCTAACTAGTTAAGTTATATATACATATAAATCTTTTAATTAATGTTTAGACATCTTAACAGCTCCAGGTAAATTTCTAAGAAATTCATTAAAATTCTAAGAAATCTATTGTTAACTGACACGCCGGCGTGTCCGCGGTCGTGGAAGGATTAAAGAAGAGATTTAGTTGATGTTGAAGCAGCTAGAAAGGCGCAAAGGCAGGTTAAAATATTGTAATTATACCAAAATAACCATTTGTACCATACGAAAGCTCGATCTGAGTCCATTTATCATCTCAATAGATCTTAATTTCACTTTAACTGACGAACAGTCGATTCGAGTAAGAGTGGCATACCCATACTTCGTCATCTGGGAAAAAAATAGATTTCACGCTGGATTTAAGAGAATTAGAGTTTTAAGCATTTTTGGGATAGGTTGTAGTATAGGGAAGGATTGCCAATAGTGAATGAGTATACTTAGCTCGTCATGAATGGTTCCAGCTGTTCGACTTCGACGTGGAGGTGCAGCCGATCCTGGAGGTGCTCGTGAGCAAGACGGCACAGCAAGCGCTGGGCGAGGTGGCGCAGGAGGAGGAGCTGGCCGCGCTGCGCGAGCAACAGCGCCGCTACCGCGAGCTGCGCGACACCGAGCTCGCCGAACGACAGCGCCTCGCGCGACAGGACGAGCGACTACATCAGGAAAAGGTCAATTGCTCACAATCTTTACAAGCGTTAAGCGTATGCAACTCATGATAAAAGATGCTGACCGCAAAAACCTTGTAACGTGGCAGAACGTGCTGCTGCAACAAAATACTATTACAATTGCGAAAGTTTTTGTGGGTATCTGTTTAGACTTCAAAGTAACACATAGGCTACTGCTAGGCGTAGGAAGTAGGAACGCACCTTGTCGCTAGTAATATTATAATTTCAAATTCAGGCTTCGACAATAACTTCCAAATTATATTGTTCTATTCTTTAGTATGCATAGTTGCATTATTCATAATTTAGTATATTTAGTATAGTATGTTTTATGATCATTTTATTTAATATGATTAGAAATCATTAGAAAAACACTAATAGAGATCTATTAGTTCCCACGGGAACCGTTCATTTTTCCCGGATGAAAAGTAACCTGTTCTTTGACCGGCAATATAAGGTATCAGAATGTTAAATTTTACTAAATTAGGTGCATAAGTTGTATAAGTTATTATAGTTTTTTAACTATCCCACGGGAACTATTTAATTTTCCGGGATAAAAAGTATCTAAGATATTGCCCGGGGATATAAGGTACCACCATGCAAAATTTCATTTAAATCGGTCCAATAGATTCGGAGATTAGCCCGTACAAACAGATAAACAGACAGAGAAACAAAAAATTTGAAAAAATGTCTGGATTTGTTCTATTTGTCTTCTTACATCCCCCTGCCTCGGTTTTTAGCATTTTTTTGCTATGTACAGACATTCGACCTCTACAGTTTTATTATAGTATAGATAATAATTTAATATGTTGGGACATTAACACACAGCACCTTCTAGTTCCATGGTAAGCTACGAGGCTTATGTTATGGATACCAGATAGTTGATACACTACATATATAACTTTAAATACATATATATTATAAATATAAACACCCATGACTGGGTACAAACATTCGTACTCATCACACAAATGAATGCCCCTAGCGTACACGTAGCGTACACGTAGCGGCACAGTAAGTAGGGTCACTACAAACTGAGCCATACGTCTCGTCAAATTTATAATTTATTATTCATCAATATATGAAACTAGCGACTAACCCTCGCTTCGCTCGGGTTCGTCCCTAGGGTATCTTACAACTTACATACAACTTTCCTATTTGAATCGGATATTTATAAATTTTTCATTGGTTTTTTTTTTCGTGGGGACCCTATTTTTTTTCTAAAATAAAAGTAGCCTAACGTACTCCTTATTATATCAGCTATCTGCCAGTGAAAGTCCTGTCAAAATCGGCTTAGCCATTTCAGAGATTAACCGGAACAAACAGACAGACATAAATTGTAAAAAATGTTGTTTTGGTATATGTATCGTGTATACATCCATATGCATTTAGTAAAAAGCTGTTATTTTGACATTTCAAACAGACACTTCAATTTAATTTATCTGTATAGATTTGTTTTTGAGTAATGTTACCATCGTATAAATATTGACAATATAATATATTGACATTAATATTTATACGATAGGTACTAACGTCACTCAATTGTTTTGCCTTCCCGGAAGCTCTCCACTAACACTTAAACTTTATGGTATGATATTAGAGTTCAAATAGACTTTTAAGTATTATTACGAATCTTTTGTATGGGAGTATAGAAAAGTGTTGTTTTTAGACTTTTTCAGGCAATTTTTTAAATTGTTCTCTACGTAACAACCATCCTCGTACTTCAAGGAATATTCTAAAAAAAGAATTATCGAAATCGGTTCGCTTAGCAACACATTCAGCGATTCATTTTTATGTTATAGATACCTAGATGAAATTCTAAAGAGTAAAGCGTGCCCATTGGCAGGAGCGGCGCGTGGCGGAAGCGCGGGTGGCGCGCGCGGCGGGCGCGGAGGCGCGCGCGCGCGTAGCGGCGGCCGCACTGGTGCAGGGCTACGTGGCCGAACTGCTGCCCGCCGCGCTGGCCGGCCTGCGCGACGCCGGCCACCTCGTGCGCCGTCTGCAGCGCGGTACTCCTCCTTAGTTCTTACAACAAACAGATAACTAACGCGCTAACTCTCTTTCACTTTAATCTATTTATGCCATGGTAACCGTTGTTATTGTCTGACAAATGACATATAATATTATATTCTTTCCTTCTTTTCTTTCCTTTGGGGCCACTTTTACATAGATAGAGCTATTTTATCATGCACAGAAAACAATGAGCTTTAATTTGATATATAAATGATGAATATACGCCATGAACGTATAAATGTAACAAAAACATTTTTAATGACTCGCAACCACTTTTGCGCCACTTTTACATAGGCAGACGTAGTTTATCAGGTACAGAAAAAAAATAGCTTTAATTTGATATATAAATGATGCATGTACGCTATTAACGCATAAATATACCAAAATATGACCCGCTTATGCCTGGCTGCGAAGAGGTTGCGGCCAAATGCGCAATGGCAGCTATCATTTTCAACCGACTTCAAAAAGGAGGAGGTTCTCAATTCGACTGTATGTTTTTTTTTTTTTTTTTTTTTTTTATGTTTGTTACCTCAGAACTCCGTCATTTATTAACCGATTTGGACAATTTTTGTTTTGTTTGAAAGGGTATACTTCCAGATTGGTCCCATTTAAATTTCAAAAAAAAATACCACCCCTAAGGGTGGAAAAACAACTAATGATGAATTTAACCTACTTCTAATTGTCATATTGACTTGAAACTTTGCAAGTATTTCTATTTCCGTTGATAGTACAGTGGTTCGGTGTTGTTGACCTGATCTGATGGCAAGGCCAGAAGGTGGATAGGTAGAACTCTTCAACGGCTAATAGTAGATACTTTGAGTTTGGGCTTATTTTGTTTGATTTGACAAGCCTAACACGTTAGAATCCTTACTTTGCTACTACTGTCTACACTAAAAAGGGAAAAATAAAAACTTTTTAACAAAAAATAAAAACCGACTTCAAAAAAAAGCACTAAAAAGTAAAAAATAACTGATTGGTAGTTTTCATTTACTATACATACCTAATCAAATATTTTCGAAGTCGGTGTGCTTTGGCTAAGTAATTAAAGCCTACCTATTAAATACATACCTAATCAAATATTTTCGAAATCGGTGCCAGCCCATACAAAGCAAAGCACACCGACTTCGAAAATATTTGATTAGGTATGTATAGTAAATGAAAACTACCAATCAGTTATTTTTTACTTTTTAGTGCTTTTTTTTGAAGTCGGTTTTTATTTTTTTGTTAAAAAGTTTTTATTCAAGATCTCTACGTATAGTTCTGTGAAGTGGAGTATAATTCATTGTAATAACAAATGCATCGTTTTTATTCCAAAAAGTCAACTATTATTTAGTTAATTAAACATACTAGCGGGCACATTTGAATATGCACTCCAGTCAAAACATATTGTCCCTTTTATTATTGTATATAAAAAATTGATTTCGATTAAATACGCAATGAACGTAGCAATCTTGCAGTGGGATCTTAGTCCATTGTTACTTTATTTGAACACAATCGTGTTTGTTATTTATAAGAAAATACACTTATATAAAATATTACATATAATAGGTGTAGAAGAAGAATTCATGCCATGGCTCATACAAGAGGTGTCTCAAGAGATAGAGTCCATAATCACGAGCAGAGACGTCATTACCGGTACGATAATTACAAGTACTTTACACACACTGCACTCAGCACCCTCTATACTTCAATGCTCTCCATACTACATTGGTATGAGGTATGCTATCGGAATATAAAGGGTGCCAAGAGTGTCAACATGCTAACATGACCTGAATGATTTAGATGCAGTAGTCTAAAAGATGACTTAGCAAAGTTTAGGTAAGTCGTCTAGCTTACTTACGCAAAGTAATAGAATGGAAACATCTGTGTGTCTGTGCCGCAGAGATAGTGCGCGACGTGGTGGAGGCGCGCGCGGAGCTGTACGGCGGCGCGGGCGAGCGCCTCGCGCAGCGCGTCTCGCCGCCGGACTCGCTCACGCCGCCTTCCATACCCACTGAGGAAGGTAAGCAGATCTATAGTACGTTGTCCTTCTGGTACCATCGGCTCGAAGGTGTCAAATGTATTTAGTGCTGATACACACATAGTTCTTCTTTTTCCCGATATACCTATTTGTTAACCGACTTCCAAAAAGGAGGAGGTTATCAATTCGTCGGAATCTTTTTTTTCTTTTTTTTATGTATGTTGACCGATTACTTGAAGATGCTTGAACCGATTTGGAAAATATTTTTTTTTTGTTTCAAAGGGTATAACTTCCCAGATAGTCCCATATAAATTTTATCGAAATCAGACAACCGGTTTTAAAAAAAATCAATACTAAATATTTTTTTTGAATAAACTGTTTAATCGAATGTGTTATTAAAAAACTTTCTTCTTACAAATTACCTGCTTATTACATCTACACTAAAAATGAAAAATTAAAACTTTTTTACAAAAAATGAAAACCGACTTCCAGGCACTAAAATGAAAAAAATAACTAAACGGGGGTTTTCATTTAGAATAGATACCTAATCAGATATTTTCGAAGTCGGTGCCAGCTGACAATATTTTAAGATATGAATATCTAATAGCTAAACATGTATTTTACGTATCGAAATAGGTAAGTATATTAGATTTGCTTTGGATCGGCTGGCACCTACTTCGAAAATACCTCATTAGGTATCTACTCTAAATGAAAACCCCCGTTTAGGTTTTTTTTTCATTGTAGTGCCTAGAAGTCGGTTTTTATTTTTTGTTAATTTAATAGGTGCACAAGCATAAAGTAAAAATAGTAGCCCTTTGAAATTTCTGAAATCGATATTTTTTATTACAACTCGCTCTTCAGGTTTTAGTTTATGATGAATTTTCTAATGACTAGCATGTAAGTACGACTGAATATATCGATTGTTTCTTAATATTTAATGAAATTGGCCACTGTGACCAGAATTATTGAGAATATCGTTTTTATTGCCACACACCGCAACAAGTGCGACCTGTTCGTGGTACGCGGCGAGCACAATAGCAGCGCGCATCGGTCACGCGCAGCACGTGCGCCGACCCGCACGCCGCACCCGCCACACCCCGCGCCGCATGAATACACTCATTAAAGCGATATGCCATCCCTATTAGCTTACAATTCCGAACTTGCCAAATAATAACAATCTGTTGGAAATCCTCGCTTACACTACGCAGCAACGATCGTCTCCACGCGAAAGCCGCCCCTAGAGCCGGGGCGGTAAAGCGCACGCGGGCCGGCGGCGGGCAGCGCGGCGCCGGGCTGCGGTCGCGCGCGATTAAGATTGATACGCTTTGATGACATTATAATATCGTTTTGATTTGTTCGCGCCTGCGCCCGCGCCGCGCACGTGCGCTCGCTTTGTGCAAAGTATTTTAAACTAATTTATTTGGACGTTTATTCGAGAGCATCGCTTTTGTAGCTTATTAGCGACAATTTGTGGTTAAATGTTATATTAAAACGTCGATTACAACATTTTTTTGTCAAATGTTTTTAATAATAAGAACATTTTAAAAAAATATACCTAATTAATTAATTGGACAACTCATATATACCATTAATCTCGACAAGCTTTATCGAATGATAAAGATTTCAATGAGCACTGCAGTAAGCACAGAAAAAATTCCATACTAAAGGGCCCTTTTATTTCTAAAGATTTTTGCTATTTCCCTGCAATTCAGCTCACGTTCTTTTGAATATTGACATTTTTTAAATGAATAAGTATTATACTCACTTTCAATGACAGTAGGTACGAGCTTTAAGATACGAAAAAATAAAAATTAAAGATTTTTTTAAGAATAGGCATAGTTTTAATATAAATATTAATACCATATCTATGTAACATTGTATTAATTTTATATAAATTAAACAAATAAATATATATCATATGAAATACATAGTATAAAAGCACCTACCTACGTAATATGTATTTGTAGTCGGTGTCTGAATATCCCTATAAATTTTGCGGTTAATTGAATTCAAAGCAACGTTGATCAATGATTGAGATAATATCTATGATCGAGATAATATCTGTAATAAACATGCACTTGGGCGAGAGCTTTTCGCTGATAATTCAAACTGCGCCCTCGCCTCGGATTTAATTGCGCACGTGCCGACGCGACGAGGCGTCCGCGGTGCGGCGGCGATTCGCGCAAACAATAAGTACATATTAACGCGGATACCAAAAAAATTACTTTACCAAGCTGTTCTCAAAAAATGTAAATCTCTAAATGATGGGTAGGTATATTCAAATTATATCCTTAATGCAATTATTTAAGGAAAGATATTATGTGTTGGTATTACATAATATATAGCATAGTTATATTTTTCTATTTTTTTTACATATTTTTTTTATTATTTTTCCAAATATGACACTCTTTCACGTAACTTTCATGTAAAGTGGGAAACTTTTATATGCATTTTAAATGCAGTAAAGGCGTATATTTTAGAATTACACATATCACCTAAAATCTAATTAGTAAAAACAATAGCCGAACAAAAAGCAGGCCGCTCGGGCGCGGCGCGAGCGGTTGGCTACAGCAGCGAGTGCTTAACTAGAATCACGGCTGTTCCGCACGACGCAACGCCACACAGAGCGAGCGCGCGCGCCCTGCGGCCTGCACCTGCCTGCTTCCTATATAAACCGCTCTTTCATAAATACATGACAATGACATGACCCATGCCCTCTATTTCTCTCTATTTGAAATGATACATAGATCTATGCATTTTAATAAACCGGAGAGATTATAATATGTATTTATTATAGAAAATCTTTTAAGATCTCTTTTGTAAAACTTATTGTGTACTGTAATAGGTACTATGTAATTATTTGAACCTTTTGACGGCTGCACTTACTCGTACTAGCGTAAAAAACTTAGACATGAATGAGATTACCGCATACTAGGTTATACCGTATAGGTGATACCGTATAAATGTTACCATAGATTTTACGGAGATTTATCGTTCTAATCATAATTATAATTCTTGTTCTTCAATGTACCTATACCAATCCTGCCTACAGGCACGCGGAAACGTGGCACTGTGACGGCAAAAACTAGTGTAATGCTATAAAGATACCCAATATTGACCAGCTCGACATCGGGCACGCGGCTCGCCGCCCGCGCCGGAGAACATTTCGCTGAGTCAATATTGTTGATACACTCGCAGCACATTAGCAGCTCTGACAAACAATTATAATATGTTGGCGCGACCCCCTCCCGCCCCGCGCCTGCGCCTTCGCCCGCCCTCTGCCACACTATCTGCACACTCATCTCCCGCTACACGCAGAAATTCGCTAATGTAATTGAAATGGACAACACTCGCCGCGCCAACGTGGAACCTTATGCAGACGTCATAACGCTGTGAGCGAAGCGCTTCCGCGCGTGTTTGTGCAGCTGCGGCGCGCGCCGTCGGTACAATACAATAATAATGTAGAGCTTAAACGCTGCAATTTAGAGTACTTCATAAAAACACGAGTCACAAAGCTCCACTGCGACGAATAATTTTTAAGCCCTTTTTAATCGCTTGTGGTATATTTTAATAAAAATAACAATATATTTTACGTATAGAATTTGGTAGTTGTGAGGGTGGGTACTAAAATATTAATTATAATATATATTATTTGTTTGCCTTAGTATATACTTACATTACACAGTATTTTGAATGTTTTGAATTAAATTATTACTCTCAGTTATTCTTAACACTCAAAAAGGCACTGCAACCATATATGTGAGGGCTAGCCCAAAAATTGTAAGGGCTGGGACACCTCACATAGACGATGAGCTGAAGCGGGGGTTGGAGTTGTAAGGGAGAGAGATGTAAGGGTGTGCACTTACTTGGAATGTAGATGGGCGGATGATAGATGGATGGCGCTGGGTGAGTGGCACGCTCCTGAGCTGAATATACCTTTGCACGTATAGGTACACGTGCAACAAAGTTTTATATTATACGCTATATTCACTATCACTGTTCAATTGTCTGTATAGTTCACTTTAATAGGAGCCGGCCGGCAATATACTTAGAATAATTCACACACGAGCAGATGAGCTGAAGGTTTTACTTTTACATATATTTTCAATTTAACGACCCTTCTCGAACCGTGGACGACGCGTGACCTTTTTCGAGTTGCGCGCATGTGACGCTCGCGCCGAATCCATGAGTAAGAGTGAGAAAGCAAATCAGGGAACCAATCGTCGCGCCCGAGTGGCGCGAACATCCTGGGGGGCCCGAGAGAGCACCTCTTCTTGAGCTGAATCTAACGGCAGCCTTGCTATCTTGAGCACAGGTCTGCGCAGATGTCCGTGGGCTGTGTCCAGATCCACAACTCGGATCACTCCATCCTTGCCAGGTATTGTGCGGGTAATTCTTCCCAGTTTCCATTGGAGCGGGGGCAGGTTATCTTCTTTGACGAGTACCAGTTCGCCAACTTGAGGAGGTGAGGAAGGGGAAAGCCATTTGGAGCGGGTCTGAAGGGTATGGAGGTAGGATCTGGTCCACAGTGTCCAAAAGCGTTGAGAAAGAGCTTGTATGAGTTGAAAACGTTTTTAAGAGCAGATAATGGCCTGTCATCAAAGGACGGCTCGGCAGAGCTGTGAGCGGACGGCCTATAATAAAAATGGCCAGCGGTTAAGGGCTGAAAGTCCGACGGGTCGGATGAAAGTGGGCAGAGAGGTCTGGAGTTAAGTACAGCCTCAATTCGTGTCAGAAGTGTAGAAAATTCCTCAAATGTAAGGTGTTGTTCACCAATTACGCGATAAAGTAATTGTTTCGTAGATTTAATGTTAATTTCATGTAACGCGCCGAACCAGGGGCCCTTTGGGGGGTTTAACAACCAGGTTACGTGCTGGTTAGCTAGTTTGTGTGTGATTGCATCATTATTAGCAGTGAGAAAATTTTGGACTTCTATGAGGTGATTTCTGGAGCCTACATAATTGGTGCCGCAATCTGATCTAATTAGTACCGGCGTACCGCGCCGTGAGATAAATCTTTGTAACGCCGCGAGAAAGGCTTCTGTGGTAAGAGCAGAGACGGCCTCTAAATGAACCGCCTTAGTTGAGAGACACACGAATATGCAAAAGTACGCTTTTAAGAGCTTAGCGTTCCGTAATGTGCTAGATTTAATGAGAAAACGGGCCGGCAAAGTCAGTCGTGACTTGGCTAAATACAGGTTTGAGGGTTAACCCTGTCCGCGGTAAGGTCTCCCATGAACGGGGGCTTCGGGTTGAGGCGCGACATCGGAAGCATCTTATACATTTAAACACCCGGCGTCTGATCACGCGGCGAGCGGATAGTATCCAGAATTGCTGGCGGAGAATGGCGTTGTAGAGTGTCAGAGCCAGGATGGCAGTGTATTTTGTGGTAATGGTCAATGATGAGGTCTACGAGTGGGCTAGAGCTGGGCAGAATGAGTGGATGTTGAGCATCATACCTAATTGGAGCATGAGAAAGACGACCACCGACTCTCAGGAGACCGTCTTTGATAAATGGCGATAGACGCTGCAGTCGAGCAGTAAAAAGTTTATCCTTTTGAAGACGGTGAAAGGTCCTCTGCGAACTCATTTTGTTTGAACAGAGCGGACCCAGAATAACAGAGCGTCCCTACGTTCGCCAACAGTCAGCGGACCAGCGCGTCGTGCCTTTGGGCTGTGCTTACAATTGAAAATGAAACGCATGATACAAGCCGTCACCCCGACGAGCTTGTCAAGTGAGCTGAAGCGAGTGAGCAGATCATGGTCAATATCCGGAACCGCTATATGTGCTGGTAATTTTCTCGGTTTAAGGCCTGGTAGAGCATGGTGGCCTAAAGCGACTGGCATCTTGGGCCAGGTACTAGGGGGCTCTTTGAGCCAACTGGGAGACCACCAGAGATCATGAGCTGAAAGTGATTGTGCTGACATGCCCCTGCTTGCACAGTCTGCAGGGTTGAGGTTCGTGGGAACATGTCTCCATATAATGCTAGTCGGACTAGACGTTATTTTTGCCACTCGGCACTCGGCACTCGGCCTCGAATGTCTGGAGCCGATGAGGGGGCGTGTTTAGCCACGCTATAACTATTGTGCTATCCGACCAACAGATATGCTGGTCTATAGCAATATGAGCTGATAATTTAGTGGACACACGATTCATGAGTTGCGATAATAGAGCTGCGGCTGATAGTTCCAATTTAGGAATTGTGAGGCGATTCTTAATTGGCGCAACCTTAGACTTGGCAACGACCAGGTGTACATTGACCTGTCCATTGGCATTGAGCTCATGAAGGTAAATGACAGACGCAAATCCAGCTTCTGATGCGTCTGCGAAACCGTGGAGCGAGTAAGTAGATGTCGGCTTATATTTGCAAATGTGACGAGGTAAGCGGAGATTCGAGAGTTGAGGAAGATCTTGTGAAATGTGCTGCCACTCTGTGCAAACGTCAATGCTAGGGGGTTCGTCCCATCCCAGTTTCAGGAGCCATAACTTCTGTAAAAGACACTTTGCGCGGAAAATGACCGGTGTGACCCAACCGTTGGGGTCATAGAGTGATGCTACTGTGCTGAGAATGGAGCGCTTTGTGATTTGGGTTATTGGAGGGAGACAGATGCGATAAGTGAACTCATCCGATTGAGGAATCCATTGTATCCCTAGCACTTTAATGGTGTTTGATTCTGGGCTGATGTCAAAGTCCTTAGGCATGTCACATTGGTCATCAGGAAACCGTTCCAGGAGCTGGGGACAGTTTGAAGTCCATTTACTGAGCTGAAAGCCACCCAGGCCAAGCAAATCAATCAATTCGGTTTGTAGTACCTGTGCAGACTCCACAGAGTCATGGCCACAAAGTATATCGTCAACGAAGATCGAATTGCGTAGGATCTGTGCAGCTTGTGGGTAACGATGACCTTCGTCATCAGCCAATTGGAGCAGTGTGCGGATAGCATGGTACGGGCTGGACCGTAAACCATACGTGACTGTATTTAGCGCATATGTGAGCAGAGGCTGGTCAGGTGACGACCGCCAGAGAATAAGTTGATACTGTCTATGATCTGGATGGATGTTATATTTCTGAACATCTTTCTGATGTCAGTACTGAAGACTACAGGGTGTGTTCTAAATGACATAATAATATCAACAATATCCTGTTGGAGAGCTGGACCTGTGTGCAGGCAATCATTTAGACTTACGCCATTTGAGCTTTTACTGCTACCATCAAATACAGTGCGTAGTTTATCTGATCCCGTCTTGAAAATAGCATGATGCGGAATATAGAAGTGCGGCTTACCTGCAAAGGTACTTGGGTGACAGGGTGACATGTGTCCCAAGTTGAGATACTCATTCATAAAGTCAACATATTGAGAGCGGAGGGGCGGATTTGCTTGTAACTTCTTTTCGAGATTGAGAAATCTACGTAGTGCAATAGCATGAGTGTTGCCTAAGGTCGGCGCATTTGGTAAAAAAGGCAATGTTACCATATATTTGCCTGATGGTTCTCGAGTTGTTGTGGTGCGGTAAATTTCTTCGCATTGCTCCTGCAAAGGACTGGTCGCTATATGAGGTTGTGGTTCTTCCGAGTCCCAGAACCTCTCAATGCGCTTGCAAATTTACCGCACAGTTGCAGTTGCAAATTTAGCCCAAAAATTGTAAGGGCTGGGACACCTCACATAGACGATGAGCTGAAGCGGGGGTTGGAGTTGTAAGGGAGAGAGATGTAAGGGTGTGCACTTACTTGGAATGTAGATGGGCGGATGATAGATGGATGGCGCTGGGTGAGTGGCACGCTCCTGAGCTGAATATACCTTTGCACGTATAGGTACACGTGCAACAAAGTTTTATATTATACGCTATATTCACTATCACTGTTCAATTGTCTGTATAGTTCACTTTAATAGGAGCCGGCCGGCAATATACTTAGAATAATTCACACACGAGCAGATGAGCTGAAGGTTTTACTTTTACATATATTTTCAATTTAACGACCCTTCTCGAACCGTGGACGACGCGTGACCTTTTTCGAGTTGCGCGCATGTGACGCTCGCGCCGAATCCATGAGTAAGAGTGAGAAAGCAAATCAGGGAACCAATCGTCGCGCCCGAGTGGCGCGAACAATATAAAAAAATAAACCATCAAAATAAATCGTCTATGGATCGATCGATCGGACTTTTGCTTGCGAGCTCCGAGCACACCAGCTCAGAGCGTAGCGGTTTAATCTTTTAAATTTTTAAGTAGCTTCTCTATTATCCACCAATTACTTTATCGTTTGAGCAAACCAAACGCACCCCTCGTCCCTCACCCCTCGTCACGTGTCGCACGCGCCGCCGCAACACTTGTAGCGATCGCAGCGGATTATGTCAAGTGAATGTGAGCTGCTCACTTGCTCACTTGTCGCTGGGATTAAGCGATATTAAAACATATTTTACAATCAATTACATTTAATACTGCTGAAAGCAATGTATTATTTATTTATGACAAATATATCTGAACTATTTACTTACTACATTTAAGGACCACATGTGCTAGCAGGGGATGCTCTTTACACAGCACTAAGTACAAAGTCTGCACTCTGCAGCACCCAGTCAGTACATCGAAGAAAACAAATTCTATTGCTCTATGAAGTGAATTCTCGTAGAAATTAGACATAGCTATAAAAAGTCCTCGATTATAATCAGTCGTGATCCATGATAAACAATAAAATGATTATCTTTTTTTTCACTAACATAGGCATGTAAATAAGTTCCGATACCTATTGGTAGATATTTTGCACAGTCTAACACAATATTATGTTTTTTTCATAAATTGTTAAGATCCTGTACTCTATGTATAGAATGTTAGCGAAACATTACAACCTTAAATATAACTTTTTTTCTGTGGCAGTATAATTTTAACAACACATATTTTGTTTGTTTTTCAGAGGCTGAAGAATAGTGGAAAACAAGCTAAACTTTCGCGCGCAGTGCAGTGGTTCAAGTTAAAATTACCGGTGGAGCCTGAACAATTCAGAAAAAGTACTAAACAACTGTCATAAAGTCTAATTATTTAATTAATATATGGAAAAGGGTGATCCATATTAAATTAAAATTGGTATATTTGCGATTAATAATAATATTAAAATCACTGATGTTCTCGTCATGTTCGAGTAATTATTATTTAACAAAAGTTAAATGAATATTTAAAATTAAAGTTCTGTAAGCTTACAAGTTTTGCGATGTGATTAAAACTATTTACCTATTGAGTAGGTTTATTAATTAATTAGATTAACATTCTTTAGATTTGGCCCTTTTCGTAAGTATCAACATGTTATGTACCTAACTATTTAAAATATAATATTATACATTTTGTTAGTAGTACCTACGTTATTGCTCATGAAACGCAATGTTCTTTCTGCGAACTATCAATATGGCATTATTGTACAAGATCATCCATTTTTTGTAGCGGTACGTACAACTTAATATTTTATTGATATACATAGATATGTATCTATATTTGTACAATTTTGACTTTATTAATAACTTTAATAATTATTCAGTGATATTGTTATATTAGCAAATAAAGCTTCGTAGCCTTATTTTTATCCTGAATGATATTCCGCTTGCAGGACTCGTCCACTGTATAATATTTGTTATAGTTAATTTTGATAAGATTTTAAAAGTTGATAGGTTTTTACTTTTAATAATTCTGTAGAGACCACTCCGAGGTGGTCCGAAGCCGAGCGCCGTCGCTGGTTATGTTACCTAGACCTTTTCGTAAGTCAATCACGATTTACTGTACTTATTTAGAATTAGTACCGGGAAGGTCTTACTTTGGTACTACTTGAATTAATTAAATATATTTGTTATAGTTTTCGAATAAAAATATTAAATAATCATAAACATTTTTATTATTTACACGTACAATTATCAAGAGTTAAATAGAATCGAAAATTTTACATTTGTATTACGAGTAAGTAGGTACTCGCTTGCTTGAATAAAATGTTCGTATCTACAATTTTAGACGAATTTAAAGTCTTAGGTTTTACCTTCCTTACTGCAATTAAAATGTATTAAAATATATAATGAATGTCGTAAAAACTTGGAGTTGTTAATCGCCAAGTATTAATCGACCACCGCGTGTCCATTTAGTCGCGGTATGTGGGGAGGCGTATCCGCTGGCAAATCTGCAAAGTCCCGCGCGGCGCATTCAATAACAATTGTTTAATCACAGACCGATTTGCAGAGGGTGTTCCGCAGATTTCGGCGACAGCCCTCTGTGCGCCCTCCGCCCTCTGAGCCGCTTCTGATATATATAGCCCCATCCGCGGCCTTGCCGCCACTTGCACTCTCAACCTGCGCTGGCACATCCCTTAATTACGACTGTGCTGTGATAAGACTAAATATACCTCTTAATGTTTAAATAACTTTTTACACTCTCCGTATTTTTTTTTGTCATTTGTCACCAATATCAAATGATCCTGTGCTATTTCTATTTTTATCAAAAATAAAATAAGCATCAAAAGCAACATTATGTCAAATATTTTTGCTTGTTGTGCGTTATAGTTAATTAGTAGTGTGTAAAGATGTCGGAAGGAAAGTCACTGCGCGTGATGTCGCGGCGCGGGTTGCGGCGCGGCTGCCGCTCACGGAGCTTCTCCCTCGACGAGCTGAGCGACGCCGGACAAGGAGACCATGATGGTGAAAATGTAAGTCTAATTATCACATTTTCTCACAACACATTGAAGTCTTTTTTTATAGTGAATATTAATAGGCATTTTTCAACCGACTTCAAAAAGGAGGAGGTTCTCAATTCGACTGTATTTTTTTTTGTTTGTTACCTCAGAACTACGTCATTTATTAACCGATTTGGTCAATTTTTGTTTTGTTTGAAAGGGTATACTTCCAGATTGGTCCCATTTAAATTTCAAAAAAAATACCACCCCTAAGGGTGGAAAAATAGCTAATAATGAATTTAACCTACTTCGAATTGTCATATTGACTTGAAACTTTGCAAGTGTTTCTATTTCCGTTGATAGTACAGTGGTTCGGTATTGTTGACCTGATCTGATGGTAAGGCCAGAAGGTGGATAGGTGGAACTCTTCAACGACTAATAGTAGATACTTTGAGTTTGGGCTTATTTTGTTTGGTTTGACAAGCCTAACACTTTAGAATTCTTACTTTGCTACTACTGTCTACACTAAAAAGGGAAAAATAAAAAGTTTTTAACAAAAAAATAAAAACCGACTTCAAACAAAAGCACTAAAAAGTAAAAAATAACTGATTGGTAGTTTTCATTTACTATACACACCTAATCAAATATTTTCGAAGTCGGTGTGCTTTGCTTTGTATGGGCTGGCACCGATTTCCAAAATATTTGATTAGGTATGTATTTAATAGGTAGGCTTTAATTACTTAGCCAAAGCACACCGACTTCGAAAATATTTGATTAGGTATGTATAGTAAATGAAAACTACCAATCAGTTATTTTTTACTTTTTAGTGCTTTTGTTTGAAGTCGGTTTTTATTTTTTTGTTAAAAAGTTTTTGCATTTTGTAAAATAAAATTTAACATGTTAAATAAAAGTTGAGTTTGTATTAGGGTAGATAGGTCGGGCTTATCTTAAAAACTAGTCTACAGATTTTCATACGGTTTTTACCAAGAGAAAGAGGGCCTATCTAAGAAAATTAATTTATAGGCCTTTGCGTCTGTGGTAGACAATTTATGGTGTATAAATGTTTGAGATACACCGCTTATGGTATGGTATCTAAGTAGATCGATGCGAGAGTGACTTGTCCTACCGCAGGCTTGACAGGACAAGTTTGTGACAAATGGTAGGTACTTAGTCGTCTTGACGAAATGATGATCGTGATGATGATGTGCTGCAAACCCGATCTCATCTCAAAACCTGGAACCCTCCACAATGCATATTATACGTCACTCCGTTCGTTTCTCCGCAAGCCTTTTCCAGTTTTGGTCGTCAACTTTAAAAGTCATGCCACTCTTGACAGTCTTTAAAGCGAAGCAATATCCTTCTAACAAGTCTTTTTGTGTTCGCAACTAACCCAAATAATTTGTTGGTATGATGAAATTTGCGAATTGAATCGGAAAAATCTCTTCTGGTTGATAAGCTCTCTGTCGTACTCTCTTAAGGTATAAATTAAGTCGCGCTGTTTATATTTGCATCCGATAACTAAGTGGTATCTATTCAATAAAGATGATGAAAAAATGCTTTTTAAAATCATTAGTAATTATGTGATATGAACAGATTTACATAGAGATGGACGGTTGCGGGCAGCTGACGGCGCGCGGCGGCGCGGCGCGGGCGCGGGCGGTGCGGCGCGCGCGCCTCGCACCCGCGCCGCCGCACGCCTCCGCCCTGCTGTGCCTAGCGCGCGCGCCCTCCCCCGCGCCCCGCCTCGCGCTGCGCCTGGCCGCCGACGTGCCGCCGCTGCACGAACTACTCCTCTGGTTCGACGACCACGCGCTGGCCCATCTCGACATGCCATTCCTTACTTTACGTAACATTACAGGTAAAAATTACCTACGAATATACCTATTTAATCTGTTCGGTATATGTATGTACCTACTCTTTACGTTTTGCCAGTTTACAGCAATATTTTTGTATTTGTCCTGACAGGTAAAAAAAATTACTCATGTCACCATTGCAATACTGAATTCGAACACCCGAACCCCTTGAAGATACATATGTTCCTCTCGTGTCGACCGTACGAGGCGGGTTCGTTCTGGAAGCGATGCATATCTCGCTTGCGCGCGGCCACAGTCCCGCCCGCGATGCAGCTCCCTCAAATGGTTTCCTCACCGGTCCCCTCGTTCCCGGCATCGCCGCCCCCCGACCCCGCGCAGCTGGAGGCGCTGGCGGCGGCGTGGGGGCGCTCGCGCGACGGGCACGTGTGCCTCTACTGCGGCAAGCTGTACTCGCGCAAGTACGGCCTGAAGATCCACATCCGCACGCACACCGGCTACAAGCCGCTGCGCTGCCAGCACTGCCTGCGCGCCTTCGGCGACCCCAGCAACCTCAACAAGCACGTGCGCCTACACGCGGCCGCCGCGGGGCCGGCGGGCGGCGCGGGAGGCACGGGCGGCGCGCACGCGTGCCCGCTGTGCCGCAAGCCGCTGGCGCGCCGCCGCGACCTGCACCGCCACATGCGCACGCACCACCCACACCACACGCATAGTGACGCGAGTGCATAGCACAGGTGCATATGCCTGCCTCGTTGCCCAGCTTGCTCAGTTGAGGCTAGCATGTACAGCCACAAAATCATGAAGTTTGAATTTCAAACTGAGCCATAAGACACTGGAGTTTTCTGCCAAGAAATTCTCGGTAGCAGCCTAGAGTTGAAAAGAAGACGGCGTTTTAACTCCGGAACCTTAGAGAGCATATAAAAACGTCAACTCTATGTCATACACGTGATCTCTACTTGATTGTGTAGAATGTCGTATATGAAGGAAAAAGGAATAGGTATAGTGCATTTACGTAATGCACACGCACTTGTGCACTATATACCTACCTGTACCTGCCGCGCAGATGGCTGGTGTTATTTACATATACCGACATATTATATCTACTAACTACTTGAGGATGCCTGATACTATAATCGATATCTAAGTACTAACTACCTACTATAAACTATAAATATAATTGTATGTTATTTTTTATTGTTATTTCAGCAATAATTTATTATAAATAGTCTTGATCAAATAAACTTTAAAATTCGGTAGCAGTTTTATTGTTGCTTTATAGGTATATGTAACTACTCTATACAACGATGGAATTTTTCACCGTTTGAGATAAGAAATGAGCATATAAAATAAACAACGCCGCATAGCTTATGGTAGAGCTGTCGGTAGAATCATTAAAATACTTTACATTCTTACAATTAAATAATTTCTTTCTTCTATCATGAAGATAAGTCTATGAAAAAAAGAACTTCAAAATCTTTTGCTATGCTTTCACAACAACTGATTGTGAGATCAAGAGGCCAAGAACCGACGAAAATTCAAAATGACGACTCTAACATAATATTTTGTTATACTTCAATGATCATTGTAGCTATTTTCATTGTACCTATTAGGTACATATGGTATGGTATTTTAATATGGGAAAATGCAGCCGCTATTAAAAAGATATTTGCCCTGCAGAAAAGAGATATTATATTTTGTATTATAGTGTATTTTTTGTTTAGGCCCTAGAGTCAAATCTTATCTATTTCATTAAAAGATAAGTAAAAAGAAATAAAAATATTATAGTAGGAGATCCCGATCTATGTGGTGGACCTCTCACTGTTATATTTCCAGACGTTTTTTTAAACCATAAAACACAAACATGACACAGAGTTGACTCAGAAAAGGTAATGGTACCTCAGTAGGTACTGGTTCAACAGACACTGGTCTGTTGAACCAGTTCTGGGGTCATCCACTACAGCTTCCTAAGATCTGGCCAGACAATTACGGCAGTCTGTATTGTCAACAATTAAAAACCGTGATGGAAAAGCACCCGTTAAATAACGGGCATTGGTCATATTGTTCTAGCCCACTGCAGCTTCAAGACAACGCTAGACCACACACTGCACAACAGACGATCGCTAAATTAGAGGAGCTGCGATTGGAATGTCTCTGACACCCACCATACTCCCTGGTTCTTGTCCCAACAGACTACCACCTCCAAATCAAATTCCAATAAGGCAGTCAAAACCGCCTTCAGAAATTTTATTGATTCTCGCTCCCACAATTTCTACACAGCAAAAGAATCAATGAGCTACCTATAAAATGGCAAAGGTGCATAGGTAATAATGGTACATACTTTGATTAATCTATACATATATTAAAATTGTAACTAACCCGAATCTGTACATTAAATATTTTTTGGAAAATCTTATTGAAATAAACATTATTATCGATACAGAGGCCGAATCTATACTTTTTAGAATTTTTGTCTGTCTATCTGTCTGTTACCGCATCACAGAAAAACCACTGGAGGGATTTTGATGAAATTTGGTATGGTGATAGCTGGTTATCCCTGTCAACATATAGGATACTTTTTACCGCAGGAAAATATCTCATTTCTGAAAAAAAAATGCAAAAACTGCAATGTAAGAGTACACTAATCCTTAAAACCTAAGAATTTTTTTTTGGTCATCTGAACGCGGGCGGAGCCGCAGGCAATGCTAGTTAAATATATAATTTATTTATTTTTTCGTTTTGCTCTTTCCATATAAAACGCCAATTTCATATGTCCTATACAAGGACCTAATACTACCTATTTTAGTTAGTCTTTGCTGTAAGTGGATTATTGCGTAGGGTTTCTTTTTAACAGTTAGCTACACTTATACTATAGAGGTAATACTTGCTGTGCCAGCGGTCGCGGGTTCGAGTCCCGCTGGGGGCATTCATTTGATAAGCACGAATGTTTGTACTCTAGTCATGGGTGTTTATATATATATGTATTTAAAGTTATATGTGTATAGTGTATCAACTATCTCGTATCCATAACACAAGTCTCGTAGCTTACCATGGAACTGGATTGTGCTGTGTGTTAATGTCCCAACATATAATAGTTTTAAGTTCGGATATAGGACAGGTAAATCATCAATAGATGGCGCTTTTACTTTTTATGAATCGTCTATCAATTATCATGGTTAAAAAAATCAGTCTCTGTATTAATTGAATGGGAGATACCTATATTTTGCAAGTTAACATATTTTATTATACTTATATGTATTTATAAAATAAAAAAGTATGAAAGTTTGTGAATCAATGAAATCTATTGACTATTCAAGCAAACAAAAATAGCCCGAATTAGCGATATCCAATTTGTATGGTAGTTAAGTAAGTATAGACTATAATATATTGGGCAACTGCATTAGTATAGCCTTGGTGGTCTAGTGGCTAGCATGTGCGGCCGCAGATCAGGAGGTCCTTAGTTCGAGTCAACTTTAGTAACAGTTTTTCTGTAAAGAAATTCTCAGGAACAACCGTGCGCCGATATTGACTCATATGCAGGTTATCTATATTATTATGTGAATAAAATAAATGTAACCTCTATATTTAAAAGAGAAACTGTTGAGTTTCTCGCCGGTTCTTCTCAGCAGAACTGCTTTCCGAACCGGTGGTAGCTTCCTCACGGACCGACTACACTGACGCTTTCAAATTCAAAAGTACTTGTAAGTCTAATCGAATAAAGTTTATTCCATTTCATTTCGAAATACATATTCATTCTACCGGTGGTAGGACTCTGTCAAGCCAGAGGAGTCCGACTGAATGGGTACACCCTCTTATCCATTTTTCCCGCCAAGCAACAATAATTACATTGTTGTGTTCCGGTTTGAAGGATAAGGTAGCCAGCGCAGTTACAGGCAAGAGGCATATCATCTTAGTCTTCACAGTGACAACGCACCTACGGTTCTGCATTTTTGTTACATAAAACCTAAATAAGTGTATGAACCGTAGGTGTTATGGGCGACAAGTACCGCTTTCCATCAAGCGGGCTATCTGCTCGTTTGTCACTGAATACCATAAAAAAAATATTAGACTATGGGATATATTTGTTTATTGAACTGAACGTAATAATTTAAGGTCACTTTGTAATTTTAGACTAAGAAAAAATATCATGAATGACATGGAATTGTGCTTTTAATTAGGTAGGTATGTGGTTAATTTTCATGTCGATTTTAATCTTACTTTAATAATTGTCTTATAGATTTGAAACTTTCTAAATGGTAGTGAATAATAACCTGACACCTGTCATAGAACGACGTGAGGTGTAGTGGAACCTATTATATAATGGTCACTCGACTCATTTTATTATTTTTAATGAGGTACAGTAAGTTACTCAAAAATATATTTTACTATTATTTACTCCTCTGTAAATTGTTAATCCAGGATATTAGGTTTTCTATTCCAATTTCTACTAAATACTAGCGACTCACCCTCGCTCCGCTCGGGTTCGTCCCTGGGGTGGGGTCTAGGAGGACCACCTTATCCTTATCACTTAGGGGTATGAAAAATAGATAGTAGCCGATTCTCAGACCTACTGAATACGCATATAAAATTTGGTAAAAATCGGTAAAGCCGTTTCGGAGGAGTACGGTAACAAACATTGTGACATGGAAATTTTATATATTAGACTAGCAACTAACCTCGCTCCGCTCGGGTTCGTCCCTGGGGTGGGGTCTGGGAGGACCACCCTTATCCTTATCACTTAGGGGTATGAAAAATAGATAGTAGCCGATTCTCAGACCTCCTGAATACGCATATAAAATTTGGTAAAAATCGATAAAGCCGTTTCGGAGGAGTACGGTAACAAACATTGTGACATGGAAATTTTATATATAAGATGATGATATTTTCCCTCTGTAACATAAAAGTGAGGATCGAAATGAAAGCTGGTTGTAGACGGTTTGTTATATTTATTAAGGTGTAGTAACTAGTGGGCCGCCTGCTTGGCGGCGATGCGCTTGTCGCGCTCCTCGGCGATGGTGAGGCGCACGCCCTTGCCGCGCGGCAGCGAGATGTAGGCCTTGGTGCCCTTGCCGATGATGAACACGTTGTGCAGGCGCGTGGCGAAGGTGTGGCCGGTCACGTCGCGCACGTGCACGATGTCGAAGGAGCCGGGGTGGCGCTCGCGCGACACGATGGTGCCCACGCGCCCCAAGTTACGCCCGCCCGTGATCATGCACAGGTTGCCCGATTCGAACTTGATGAAGTCCATGATCTTGGCGGTGTGGATGTCGAGCTGGATGGAGTCGTTCACCTTGATCAGCGGGTCCGGGTAGCGCAGCGTGCGCCCGTCGTGCGTCACCAGGTACGGCACGTTCTTAGGGCCCGTGCCCACGTGGCGCACCTTGCACAGCTTGTACTGTTACAACCAAACAGACCACTGATTACATTTTATGTCCGCCATTCTAAAGTTAAAACTATTCAGTTCTCAATGTTCAAAAAGAATACATTCAGCAAGTGTCAAGAGAAAAAGTGTAATTCTTATTTTAAGCCACAACCTTCTCGAATATATTTACCCAATAACAAATTTTATATCTAAAACATTTTTTATTGTTATACCAACGAGGTAACTTTTTGCAACTTGCACTGAAAACAATACACTATTTCACTATCTTTGACATAGGATTCTTTTATCCCATATGGATATGCAGCTTCCCTATACTTTTAGTGCAAACTAATAAGTCAGCCCCAACTAGACAAACCGCCTATCCCTATTAACATTGTCGGATGTGAAAATCGGCAACTTTAGAGGAGAGTGCGTCAAAGTTTGAATTGTTGATATTTTTTTAAATGTACAAGTTAGGTTAACAAAAATTACTTGTGGCTATTTTAAGAACTACTCGTAAAAAATATTTTTTTGTTGCAGCTACTAAAAGAAGAGACTTTTTAAGAGTGATTAGTGAAATAAAAAGAAAATGACAAATTTGTATATCCGACAATGTTAATAGGAATAGGCGAAACCCAGAAAAATCCAATATTTTAATAATAAAAAAAATAGTTCATAACTATATGCACATTTTTACATCGAATTGTGTGTGTGTGTATGAATGTGTGATATTATTATTAAAAAAAAAACAAAATCTGTTGATTGTACCGGGTGTCTAAAAGACTTGACCATAATTTTCTATAGGATTTTATTTTAATTTATTTATTCATATTCACGTAACATTACAAATACTCATAATCATAATTATCAAATTGGAAAATCAAGTTTTACAACTAATTTTGTAATTAAATATGTTCAAAGGAGGTATTAGAATAAAAATATTGTTAAACACTTTCATAGCCCTAATAGTTAAAGGGTGTTTTATACAATCTCGCCACAATTTAGCATTTATGCCTAACTAGTGACTCACCCCCGCTTCCCTCAGATTTGTGCCTGGTAAAAAGAAAATCTATCCCACAGGAACTATACATTTTTCCAGGATAAAAAAATTACCTATGTGTGTGTATTCCAGACTATATCTGTTCCGAATTTCATTCAGATCCAATCAACAGTTCTGGTATGAATGGGTAACAAACATCCATCCAAACTTTCTATTTATAATATTAATGGGATACAGTTCCTCTCATATAACCAGAGGGTGCAACAGAACCAGGTTGTTTTTACATTCTGGGATTATCAGTAGAGTTATTTAATAGAGTTTAAATGCACAAGTTGAATTAATTTGTTTTCTACTACTTCTACTTTCTTTACTACTTCCAGGGTAATGAATCCAGTCATACTATAATAACAAACGATGATGGGCCTAATTATGGGTAGTAATCATAAATATTTTTTTTATATACTCTTAATATACTCTTCATTTATATAACTTAATTATGACTTACCTTAGCCTCTTCAGGTGTGATACGGTGAATGGTGAAACGTCCCTTTACATCATAAATTAACCTGAACAGTTCATTTGTCTTCTCAATTGAGATCACATCTGTAAATATTATTATAGTAAAATATTTTAAAATACAATAGTAAATAGCAAAATTATAATATACTAGACTCACCCTCGCTTCACTTGGGTTAGTCCCTAGCTTGGCTCTCCATACAAACTTTCATCCCCATTTTTACCCCCGTAAGGGATGAGTTCTGATCCTATGTCCTTCCCAGGCTCTCAAACTATCTTCTTACCAAATTTCATCTAAATCGGTTCAGTAGATCTAGAGATTACCCCTACAACGTCACAAACTCATAATCTCACAAACTTTACCGCTTTATAATATATATCAGTATAGAAAAAAAAATATAAACAATATGACCAAACAAACTATTACATAGTTTAATATCTTAGTGCTATTGTTTATGACTCCAGGTCTGCCTAAAATCACTACTACCAAATAATTTACATTTAATGAAAAAATTGCTTACCCATAAATCCAGCAGGGTATGTGGGGTCAGTGCGTACTTTGCCATCTACTTTGATCAAACGTTGCTTCACAATTTTGAGTACCTCATTACCGGTAAGCGCATACTTTAAGCGGTTACGTAGAAAAATAACAAGTGGCAGGCACTCGCGAAGTTTGTGCGGACCAGTAGATGGCCGAGGTGCGTAAACACCTCCAAGCTTGTCCAACATCCATGCTTTAGGAGCATTTAAACGCTTCAAATGCTTTTTAGGTCCACGAGCCTAGAAACACACAATTCAAATTGTCACCGCATCAAACATAACCTCACAGTAGAAATTCAACACTAATTGTCACTCAGTTTTTCAACAAATAATTCACGTACACACTAATTAGCTCAATAAATATATTTCTCTCATACACTCAAAAAAATTTCTTCAAGATAACATTAACACTAATTCTGACATTATATACATTTACAATTTTACTTAATATTTACAACAGCGCGGCAAAAAATATAAACTAAATATATATCCTAAATAATTGAACACCTGTTTTGATATTTAAAAAGAAAGTTCATATGAAAATAAACAATGATTTAAAAAGATTTAATTCTAAATTTTAACATCTACTCACCATGTTGGACACAAAGTTAAACAAGAAAGGACGTAGTTGTAAACGTCAGTTAAACGTCAAGACCATGGATGACAAATAAAAATCAAGACTTCATCCTGATTCTTTTTATTAGTTTGCACGTTGCACAAGGTATACTTTTAAACTGCCAAATGTTTTTTACATTAATCGAAAAGTTCTTCATAGATATGAATATTTTAATCAATTAATTATTTATTTATATTTTATTATATCAAAATAATATTTAGAAACATTATAAAATAGAAATGTGAATTTCAAAAAATCCATTTTACTACTCATTCAAATTTCGTTTTTACTATAGCGAAAGTTGCCCAAGAGTTCCCCAAAATTTTTTTATTAGAGACCAGATTTTAAGCTAAAAGTGATAATATCGCGAATCCGACCAAATTCAATAGTCACAAATAACATTCTAAAATATGATTGTATTAAAAAATCGTTAAGCACAACAAAAAGATATGCTTCCTTAGTAATTATTATAATCCTAAAACTTCAGGTTTTCAATATATATTTTTTTCTCTATCATAGACCAACTTGAGTCTTGCATCTCTCTATAGTTTGTGGTCTTGCTCTTGACTCTTGAGTCTTGAACTTCAAGACTTGAAGTTTGAACAAAAAGAATGAGGATTGTCTGTTCCCAGTATATATCTATACTCTTTGATTGTCTGTGTCATTTGTCAATTGAATTGTAGGTTATATTCTAACCTCTGGGTTTTTTAAAGTACTTGATAGTTGATTTAGTTTTATTTTAAGTTTTATTTTATGATTAACCTAGTTTATTGGGTTCTACCCAATAAGTAAAAGAAAATTAGTTTAAAATATATTTAATAAATATGTTATATGGAGTCATCTGATGAGAGTTTTATTTGGACAGATGCATCTAGCGATTCCGATATGTAAGTTAAACTATTTGCTTTATTTAGGTGTTTCTATACAAATCACTGAGTCCTATATTGTATTATATGTAAGAGTTCATTTATGAAATTCATAAATATTATTATTTTTCAGGGCAACAGACGTTAAAAACGAAAATGGTAAAGATGAATCAGATACAGATTTTAAATATAAGAGAGAGTTATTACAAGATGTAGATAAACAAAGTAAAGAAAAAGCTAAGAAGAGAAAACATATAGACAATAATGAGGACATTACTCATGAACAAAAGAAGCATAAACAGATTAAATCCGAAGCTGAAAGTGATATTGATCTACCGAAAAAGAAAAGAAAGAAAAGAAGTGAATCTATACTGAACAATAGTGACACAAAAGAAACTTTAGATGAAATAGACAATTACCTGAACATTAGAATAAAGCAAGAGCAAGAATCATTTGTAGAGCCTATTGATGTTAAACCTAAAAAAAAGAAGAAACATAAAAAAGATTTAGACTCATCTGATAGCCAAAAATCTGACAGCTTAAACCCACAGTCTTCTTTGATTGATAATCAAACCATAAAATTAAACAGTGATTCGACCCGAAGCACTTTAAATGAAATTGATGATTATCTTAATTATAGAGTAAAACTAGAGCAAGACTCTTTTGTAGAACTTAATGAAACAAAAACTAAAAAAAAGAAATCAAAAAAAAACATAGATGCAAGTATTTCCGATAGCTATGATTCACAATCTACAGTTGAAGGTTCTACAATTAATCAAGGATTAAATTCTGAAGAAAGAAGTTATGAAAATAAAAAAATGAGAAAGAAAAATAAAGATAAAAGTAAAGATAAAAATTGTTGTGCTGATTCTGAAGAAATAGAAAATCATGAAAATAACATATCCAAAAACAGAAAATCAATCTGCAAAGATGATAATGACACATATGATGAAAAAGAAATTGTACAAAATGCATACATAGATTGTGATGAGAATAATGTAAATTCTTCAACAAAAAACAATATCAGTGAACCAGAGAATGGAAATATTAGTGATGAAAAAGAGAAATCAATAAATAATAATAAGCTGGTGTCAAACACAAGTGATGCATGTGACAGCGAGCAATCTAGAGCAAATAAATCATTTTCGGATAGGTTGAGGTTTGAAGATGATAACAGTGCAGACTTTGAGTGTGTAAATGATGAACAGGATAAAAATTTGCCAAAACATATTAAGCAGTTTGTTAAAATTAATAAGCATTTAACACCAACATCAGCCAAAATTCATAGTGACCATTTTGTGTCGGAAGATGATGAAGTATGGATTATTAAGTGTCCTAATGAATTTGATATCAAGGACTTCAAAGACATAACATTAACATTGTTGGACAATAAGTGTAAAATGAAACTCAATGGGCAAACTTATGATGGTGCATTTGATGATAGTATACAAAGAGTTCCAATATTGGCACTTGATAAAAATAGAAAAAAAACTGTGGTCAAAAATATGCCTATAATGGGGCTTACTAAGTTTCGTAAAAGACTACCTAAAGCTCACATACCAGACCAAGGGACATTTATTAACAACCTCACAAATTTTATCCCCCTTCCTGAAACTAAATGTCGACATCCATTGTTTGGAATAAATTATAAAAAAGCTATAAAAATCCCACCCTCTATTGCTGAACGACTAAATGGACCAATAGAAGAATCTTCAATGGCAGACAGTGTTAAGAAAAAGAAAAAAAAACATAAAAAGGAAACCTGTAAAACTGAAAGTGAGTGTGATGTTGAATCAGAACAAATTGTAGATATACAACCTGTCACTTCATCTAAGAAAAAACGAAAAAGAAAACATAGTGATGAGTTGGACAGCCCACCTAGCAAATCTAAAAGGATCAAACACGATCCAGACTCAGCCGAGGCTTGGGAGTCCGAGCAAGCTATTAAAAATAATCTTTTCGGTCTTGAATAATACCTTATAAATATTTGCAGAATTATGTGTGTCTTTTACAACTCAGGAAACCTTACTTAACATAAGTTTTCATATCAGCAGTTCATTTATACGATAAAAATGTAATGATCAATCTTGTACATTGAATATCTATGAAGTTTTATGGGTTCTTAGATTTATGTCTGTACTGCCTCACTACTGTTAAACATATTCATTATTTTTTGTTAAAACATAGATATTAAGTTTTATAATGTGAAGTTTATCCTGAGGCTTGGTTTGTTAAATAAAGCAGGCAGTGTACAATATAGGTAATATCATAGCAGATTAAATATATTTTTATTTTTAGTTATTTATTTATAAAATATATGTTAAACAAAATAAAGTAGCAGAATGTCGACAAAGGATAACGAAAATATCACTTTAAGTGATTTCTTCCAGCAACCCTCAGGAGTGAGAAAATAAGGAAATTAGTGCTGTGTAGGTACAGTACTTTATAATTAAATACTTTAAAGTTTTAAAGTTAATATTTAACTAAATATAACCCTGGAGTAACATATTAGAATAGCCACAGGCTACTAACATTATGGTGTCTTAGACCTTAGTACATACTATATACGTGTATAATAGGGAATGTGCTTGTGATTTAAATAAAGGTGAAATATTTTTTCCCATAATCTTTATTGTTAATTAAGCCTATATTAATATTTTTTATGTAATTTCTTTTTGATTAAGAAAATAATGGGAAAGAATTTTACCTTTTTCTCCCATCAGATGTCGCGATCCCTATAGCCCTCGGTATACTGTAAATCTCTATAGCGTGGATGGTTTTATTTTTCATTTTATTTAAAATTGAATTAAAATAACAAATTGTGCGGTGCCAGGGTGCAAAGAAAATGGATAACGACAAAAATTAAAGAAATTGTGGGCTAAAGCAATAAGACGATCAAATTGGCGGAATCACAATTTTTATATTTAAGGCATTTTAATGAATGTGATTTTAAAACTCTTAAATCTTCTACAGGTGAATATTTATTTTTTTATGTTTTTTTACATATTACAGAGTTAAGAGTTTCATAAAACCTTTCATCCCCCATTATACTCCCTTATGAGATTGAATTTCAAAAAATGCTAAAACATGTATTTATTTAATTGTATTGAAGAGCATTAATACCAAGTTTCAAGTAATTCTGATCATAAATAATTCTTTGCCTATATAAACTTTATTACCCCCTTTTACACCTTTAAGGGATGAATTTCGAAAAAAACAAATATATTTCTTATCCTAAAGCCAAACACCACTTTCTGTGTATTTCAAATTGTGAATGACAGAGTTTCATACAATATTTAATCCCCTATTTTACCCATTTAGGGATAAATTTTGAAAAAAATCTTATCGGATGCCTACATTATATCAGGACTTCATCCTCCAAATTTTACTGTTCTACGATTAGCGGTTTAGGCGGTGTATTGATCCATCAGTCAGTCAGGAGTCAGGACCATCACAGTTATCATCTCTCCTTCTCAATTTCTCCTTCAGCTGGTCTAACTTCCATTGCACAGGTAAGATGCAAACACAATAGAAGCAAAACAGCATGTATAAAAGAGATATCACAATAAATTGCTTAATTTCAGACTGAATGTAAATAGACAATACGTGTGACGCCCTCCTTCGAGAAATCTTCCCCATTATTAAAAAGTGCAAATATTTAATGTGGGAAATTCAAAGTAGTTGAAACGCAACGTCGTTGGTCAGACCGAATATGGTGTCAGAACTCAGAGTATATCATAACAGAGCGATTAACGATTTTGTCACTACAAATCACTTTAGCGAAAGTCTATTTTTCTGTGTATGATAAACTTTGACGTCATGCCAAGCGCGCGAAATGCCTAGCGCGAAGTACCCGAATCGGTATGATATTTAAAAAGTATAAATATAATATTATACTAGCATTGGCCGCGGCTCCGCTCGCGTTCAGATTACCAAAAACCAAATTCTTAGGTTTTACATGTTAGTATACTCTTACAATGCAGTTTTTGTGTTTTTGTATTTTTTCTCAGAAATGAGATATTTTCCCGCGGTAAAAAGTACCTTATATGTTGACCCGGATAACCAGCTATCATCATACCAAATTTCATCAAAATCTGCCCAGTGGTTTTCTCGTGATGCGGTAACAGACAGACAGACAAAATTTTTAAAAACTATAGATTCTGACTCTGTATCGATAATAATGTCTATTTCAATTAGATTTCCCAAAAAATATTTAATATACAGATTTGACTTAGAATTTTATTATATGTATAGATTTACTAAATTTTAGTTTTTTGAAGCTAGATATTTTTTTTACAATTATGTAAGCTATCATATAAAAAAGTCACGCATATTCCCTATAATGTATTAAAGTTTTATATAAAGAAAGTAATGTTTTTTCTTTTTAATCATTACTTATTATTAATACGAAAAGGATTTTTAATTTTTTAACTCTTCATAACTGCAGTTACATTAATAAGTTTAAGCTGGTATAATATGTATTAGGTAGATATTAGCTTCTATAATGGAACTGATATTTAAAATGAAAATCAAATTAGGCATGATAGAAACAAAAATGGCAAAATATAAATAAAACTACCTCTTTGGATTTAGTAATCTATACAAATATTATAAATTGATGACTTTGTATTTTGTTTGCTTAAAGGTGCTGATCTCTAATCAGTCATTTAACTAGGTTGACTACGTAAGCTATCATCCTTAGGATCGATGCAATTATATATAATAAGATAATCACAAACAAACACATAAATAAAAAGATTTATTAAATATCATCACTCAAAGGCGAGCTTTACCGTCCTTTTACACTTTGGGATTAATCAGCTGGGACACTGACCAATGTCAATAGTCTTAATGTAATTCTCGATTTAGATCGTCGCGTATATAAATACGAATAATATCAGCAAAATTTTTATCAACAGTAAAACCAAGTTGAAGACCTCGAGTGTTGTCAAATCTGCTCGGGAAACTTCCAACGATACGCGCTATAACTTCGTCGCCTTTGAAATGTACTAATGATGCAACTTGATCACCGGCTACTTCTCGAAGTGCATTCAACATCTGACCCACCGAAACACAGATTCCTGGTAAGTTGACGGCGCGCCAAGGCCCCAACGCGTCTGGCCCGAGCGTTGACGCGTGTATTATGTTACTTACAACGGTGCTTGGACTCGTCAGCCACAGCTCCTGGGTACAGTCTACCGGGCAAACACTGCTGCATCCATTCAACGGCTCACGTATAATACCACTTGCGAAGGATGTCACAGCTTGATTGGCGGCACCTGCCCTAACGCTCACCGTGGGCAGTCTCACTATACGTGCATCCACGTACCCCCGCCTTGCGTAATCATTTAGAAGTAGTTCGCACATTGCCTTTTCGGTGCCGTATGAGTTTTGCGGCGTAACTGCAGTTAGGTCATCGACTATCGGTGGCAGATTTCCACCAAATACACCGACGGTGCTAGTAAATATAAATCGGAGAGAAGGATTCCGATGTCTCGCCTTCTCTACGAGAGCTCGTGTCGCGTCAAAATTAACGCGAAGTCCGATGTCAAAGTCCGCTTCAGCATGACCACTGACGATGGCGGCGAGGTGAAACAACACATGAATATCAGAATGAATAATCAGATCTGATACGTTCGGATCAACTAAGTTCACGGCTAGGCTAGAAACTCGAGGATCACTCGGCAACGTTGGTTTTTGTATGTCTACTAGAAGTAGGCTTTTTATAGGTAAAGGAGAACTTTCGTTTAACAAAGCCTTTGTCAAGCGAACTCCTAAAAACCCCGCTGCTCCCGTTATAACGACATTCATATTGGCCGACAGATTCACATTGAATCAAATGTACAAATAAATTTAATTATTGATAAATCTAAAATATTTGTGAAATAAGATCACAGTTTTATAAATTACTAATAAGTACCTACTTTATGTAATAATATTACAAGATAACAGACTTAAAGGTTAAAGGTCAGTAAAAACATCATCTTCACTCCACATTGCTGTATAAAGCTTTAGATCAAAATATGAAGATCATAAAAATGTTAGTTAATAAATAATAGGAAATTATGAATTAATAATAAAAACATCATTTTAATGTTTTAGATTCTTATTAGCCTCGCCTTCTGCCTGTATGCGCAGTACGAGTTGCCCCTGCAACGTGTTTGGTAGGTTTAGGTACATACTTAGCTGTTATGGATTGGAAAAGGATCATTAAAAATATATATAAATAATTAAGATCTTTTACAAATTGCACATATTATAAGACAACATATTATAACAATCAATATCTACTAAAATTATAACGTTGAAGAGATTTTTTGTTTCTAATCGAGTTCCAAAAAGGAGGAGGTTCTCAATTCGTCGGAATCTTTTTTTTTATGTATGTTCACCGATTATAACTCGAAAACGCCTGAACCGATTTGGATTTTTTTTTGTTTCGAAGCGTACACTTCCCAAGTTAATCGAAATGGGTCGAGCGGTTTTTTAAAAAGTCAACAAATTTATTGAAATAAATTGGTTAATCAAATATGTTATTATAAAACTTTCTTCTTACAAATTACCTGATTATTACGTCTACACTCAAAAATAAAATAAATAAAAAACAGACTTCCGGGCATTGAAATGTTAAAAATAACTAAACGGAGGTTTTCGCTTAGATAGATACCTAATCAGATATTTTCGAAGTCGATGTCAGCTGACAATATTTTAAGATATGAATATCTAGTAAGTAAATATAATTATATTAACTCTAATTATAGTTAAAATGTGTCGTACATAATCGTTCTTGTCGCTTTAGAACTGGATTGAACGGAACCGAACCAACGGAAGTGCTTAAAGTAACCACCATACACTGCTTATACATCTGAAATAGATGGAAAGGCCATAGTAGTAGTATTGATGTAGTGATGTATTTTACGTATCGAAATATTAGATTTGCTTTGCATCGGCTGGCACCGACTTCGAAAATATCTGATTAGGTATCTATTCTAAATGAAAACCCCTATTAGTTATTTTTTACATTTTAGTGCCTGGAAGTCCGTTTCTTTTTTTTTTAAGTTTTTATATGTATTTCATTACACGAGCTATCCCCTTACATAACGCTATGACTATTATGAGCTGAGAAAGTACCTGTACATAAATAAAAAAATAATATTCTATGCGAACGTAGCCGCAATTAAAACTATAAATATTAAAACATTATGCTTAGGTATAAAAAACATTTCACTCTAATAGTAATAATTACTTAACTGAACATATATATGTATATACGAGTATAGCCTGCCTCGGTGATGTAATGGCTAGCACGTACGGCTGCACACCCGGAGGCCCTGGATACGAGTCCCAGGTCGGGCCAAGTTTAGTTATAGAGTCTTTCTGTATAGTAAGCCTCAGTAACAGCCCGGAGTTGGGAAGTTGGCGGTGTTTCACCCCCGTGCCTCGGAGAGCACGTAAAGCCGTCGGTCCTGCGCCTTAACTCTCACCGGTCGTGTCGAGCAGTCGTCCCACCGGAGTATGAGAGTGACAGGAATAGAGACTGCACGTTGTGTCTGCGCGTATACTTGTGCATTATAATATCTCCTGCGCAGTTGGTTAGTTTCAATGAGATTGGCCGCCGTGACCGAAATCGGTCAGGAGGACGTCATCATTTAGGTACCTATACTAAGTGATTATATGCTTTAGCTTATCTTACTAATATTACTTATATAAATGCGAAAGTTTGGATGGATGGATGTTTATCACTCAATCACGCTAGAACGACTGAACGGATCTGAATTCTGGATCATGGATGTGGCAATTGGCACAGTGAGATCTGGAGATCTGGAATAAGGAATAGCACACAGTAATATATAATAAGCTATTTTGTAGGTACCTAAATATAGATTATATGCAATGATTGTCTTGATAGTCTTTTCAACATGTTTTCACTTTTTTAAAAGAATGAGCAATAAAAACCAACGATTTTTTAGACGAGGTGATGTATGTAAATAATAGTGTATACGAGTAATGTTGATTCAAGAAGTATATACAAGTACAATGGTTTGGCTTTATATTTAGTACTAGCATTGCCCGCGGCTCCGCCCGCGTTCAGATGACGAAAAACCAAATTCTTAGGTTTTACATATTAGTATAATCTTACATTGCAGTTTTTGTATTTGTTCTCAGAAATGAGATATTTTTCCGCAGTAAAAAGTATCCTATATGTTGACCCGGATAACCAGCTATCACCATACCTTTCATCAAAATCCATCCAGTGGTTTTTCTGTGATGCGGTAACAGACGGACAGACAGACAGGCAGACAGACAGACAAAAATTCTAAAAACTGTAGATTCGGCCTCTGTATCGATAATAATGTTTATTTCAATAAGATTTTCCTAAAAATGTTTAATGTACAAATTCGGCTTAGTTACAATTTTATTATATGTAGGTACCTATCGATTTTTGCTTATTGGCAGTTGGAAACTAAGTACATTTTATCGACTTGTCTTTATGGAACTAATCTATACATATATTATGAGATTTTCTTTAAATCTGTCAACATGACATGGATGATGGAGTATGAACGAATTGTAGAGGTCACCTTGAAAACTGAATTGTCAAACTGTTATTGTCGGAGTTAAGAGAGGGAATTGTATTTATTTCAAAGTTCCTGATGTAATTACTCGATAATCACATGTAGCCAGTAGCGAGCTCATTTTGATTATTAATTATTAAACTGGGACACGTCGACGACGAGTAAGGAGTGTATAACGCGGCCGGTGTGTGCACTGCTGGACTGAATGACTTCCCAATAAAGAACACTACTATTTATAGTAAGTAATAAACTTTGCAATTTATTTTAAATAAAGAATATTCGTTACAGGCAGGTAGAAAGATATTTTTTACTATATTCTTTTTAACTTTCCAAGTTCTTAGGAGCAGATATATCTCAGTTCTACTTTTATAAATAACTTTTAAAATATCGAACGTAACAGTCGGCTGAGTATCTACTTAGGAATTATTATTTTTTACATATTAAAAAAAATCTTTAAGTACTTTTCCCGTACTAATCGAAAGGATTAAAATAATAACTAAACTACCTATATAATAATATGTAGATTGCTTACATAAATTATATTATAACAGCATATTGATAGCTGTATATTTTAAATAATCTTATTGTTATTTTGTTCAATTTAGAAAAAGTAAGTAACCTACATTAATTAAAAAATCTGTTATGCCAGTACTAAAAATATTTGTTCTCTAAAACACCTCTGCATAAATGTACATAATGGGATTATTATCAAATCTTGCATTGTAAATTACCATAACAAGTGGTTTAATGAGAAATTTTAATATTAAGCATCTTCATATTCAACAACATCAACAAATATTTGTTGCACAGTTCACAGCTACAATGTTATTGTGCTGCTTATCAAAGAAAATCTATAATATATCATGTAACAAGGTACATACTATGTAATTATTTTTAACATTCGTTTATTGTGTTAAATATGTCATTAATAAAAGTACTAATTACTTTCACAAAAAAACATTGTCCAAGTTATTAGACACATCTAAGGCATTTAATATAATTTATAATACATTAAATAAATAATACCAATTAAATTATGCATGCAGACTTCCTCCAAGATAAACATTTATGACTCAAGATAGCATAGTCCTAGTTCTTCAACGAAATAAATACCTGTATTTACATTATGAATAAAATTGCACTATGTTGTATAAATTGAACTAAGTATCATCATGTAATATTTAATAAAGAAAACTCAGCTTCATATTTAATATTCTTGTTATCCTGTGTTGTTTTACATTATTTGTTTATGACATCTTACATTTAAATTATAAAACTGATATTAATTTCTGTTTGTAAAATGTGGGTTGCATTGTAATTTCTAAACTCCACACCAAGCGGAAAATTAATTATGATATTAATTTAACTTCTAACCATGCTTTTTTCAAATCATTATTATATAAGTCACTTGCATGATCTGTACTCCTTATTATATCTTCGTCTTGTTAATATTAACCTGTAATAGTAAGTAGTAAAACAAAATTACTTACAAAATACTCTTGGCCATACATTTCGTTAGTCTGTGTATCTGGTCAATTAGCCCTTTTAATGTCCCACTTCTGGGTATGAGCTTCTCCATGTGAACGAGATCCCATCAAAACAAATGTGAAAATGGGAGCCAAGTTCAATGTTAAGAATAAGTGTGGTGGTAACTTCACCGACAAAAGAATTGAGATTTAAATGGGTGCCAAGTTCTGTAGATAATCCTGAATTTTTTTCATAAGAACACACAACATTCTAAAATAAATTTAATTTTCTTGTTTTTTTTCTACTACAAAAGTGTTTACTATTTAAAAATAGAACTTCTTAAATTTGAACAGTCGAATTATTTACACAGAAACTAACTAAATAGTAACTTTGGATAAATTGAAGTTCAAGATTTGACTTGGCTAGTTTTTACCAGTAAAGCAAGTTTTTATGAAGAGTGAGACATGTTGACTTTACAATATAAAAACAGTAATTGGCGTATAGCATAAAGAAGATATAAATAATAAGCCAAATATCAGATAACTTGTATGTAAAAACCTATATTCTAATATTATAAATGTGAAAATGTCTCAAAGGCGATCAACAATATTACTAGATATCATGTTGGCGTAAGAAATTCCTCTCTGTAAATATAAGCTCACTTGCAAAGTGAGCGTATATTTCGATTAGTTCTATTGAAACACTGCAAGCGTAAACACGTTCACAATGCCGCAATATGTATTTAAAAGTTGCAAAAATAATGCGCGAAGAAGAAATTTTTTAGACGTAGTATCTTATTTTCGGTAAATACATGTAGATTACGTCAATATTTTAAGATTTAACCTACAAAATAATATAAAAATGAACAATTTTAAATCCGTTAAGAAAGTTGGCCAAGGTCGGCCAATACACGCGCAAATTTAAAGAAACAAACAGAAAAAAACCAACGATTCGAAAACGACATGATCGTAAATGTATGATGAGAATTTGAAGATTAGTGACAACCTTACAAGGTGCTATGGTGTTGATTAGGTTGAAAATAAAACTATTAAAAGACTTTGACTTGGCTCGTTAGTATACAAATGTAGGTGTATGAGTAGGTACATGCCTATTCGCGCGGACAGAATTTAGCTTTGATGTTGTATGTGACACATTATCTAGTAGTAGGTATTGTTGATCGAAGCTCAAAGGTTATCTAAAACCTCGCGTTACTATTAAGTTTCTAGCTTTGAAGGTTTCCGAGATATGCCCTTTTGAATGAAACTCAATAGTTACGCTCATTTTTCTTCATATCTCAAGGTCAAAGCGGAGTACGGCAGTGAAACTTATGTGAATCGCTTTTCTACATCAAGCCCTTATTGATATATAAGTTTCGATATAGGCTGCCATAGGGCGCTGGCTCGCTATATGTACTTATCGAGCTAAATCCTTCCAACTTTCTAGGTCATCTGGAAGTGGATTAGGTTTTACTACTATATGTCAGTCAGTGATAAATATGCTGATTTTTAGACGTTAATATCTCTATAAGACTAAAGGCCGAGGTTTTTAGGATCCGGCAAAAATAAACTTATGCGTTGCTCTGAAACAAGATGGATATTTTGCGTTGTCCTGCGAGGATGTATTCACAAACATCCTTGTAAGATTTTAACAATTCATTTAAATCATTCTTCACCTATCCGATTACTGGAAAAAGTGTTTTGTAATACATATACAGAAGTTTTTTAGGATTGCACACATGTCTTCTAATACTTTCTACAACTCGATCGCTCTTCTATGGATGGACTTTCATAAAATCCTTTGTAGCAGTTGACAACCTCATGAAGGTGACCAATTTGCTCAATTTTTAGTCCTATACTTTGAAGCTCCTGAAGCTTATGATTACGTGAAGGCTTTGCGATTGATACGAGTAATTATTTTCTATCAATAATAAACTGCCAGAGAAACTATTTTTTTTAATACTTAACTAATATCAAAGGAAATTACAATAACGCGTGGTACTTGAACGCAGTATTTATAAGAGATGTCCCTATTCTAACAGAGTAAACAGTGCATACAGTAGTCGTATATGCTCGAATTGGCACTTTGTTCTCGAACGGGTTTGATATCTGTTCAAAGTGAGGACAAAGGCTGTAATAGTATCCGCGTGTAGGACGCGCGTGACGGAGCCGCGGTTATATAGGCGGGCGACGCGCGCGGCCGGCGACTCCTGCGTGCGCAGCCGCCGCGCGCCCTCGCCCGACATGCAAAAGATACTCCCGCGCGACTCGAGCGACTACCGCAAGGTGTACGAGAAAGTTGTCATTGAAAAGGTCTCGCACCGGAATGTAGCCCCAACTACATAGTTCATGTTCACTTTGTTAACGTTCTTCTTTTCTTCTATTTTTGTGCGTAATTACACTTTGACACAAATATTGTGTTAAATACGAGGATAATATAAGTAGTTATTTGCATTAATTGAGTGTAGGTATACGTATCGTAAAGTAAGAATGTGCGTGATGTGTCGCAGAGGCAGATGGCAGTGGAGCGGAGCGAGGCGCAGGAGGCGCAGGAAGAGGTGGCGCCGGAAACGTGCGAGGGCGAGCCCGAGGTGGCCGACGTGCAGGTGCTCACGCTGAACCACGGGGAACACCAGGATGCTACATTGTATAGGTAAAGTCTGATTGCAAGTTTGCCTAGTAAGGACCTACTAAAATTTAACAAATACATAATATAATAAAAAACTTACGTAAATTTTTACAGATTCGAAAAGGGTTGCTGTTTGCAGTTCTGCCCTGGTCCTAGTCTACTGGGTCGCAAAGTGTTTCTCTACACAAACTATGTAGTATCAGATAATCGTAAGTTATTTTAAAAAATAAGTGATAATAAATTTACTCAACCTTACATCGAGTCGGTCGAACAAGTTCAGTCGTTGATTTTCCGTGGCGTGGTCGCAGCGGAGGAGAAGGGCGAGCAGGTGGAGTTCGTGCGCAACCAGTACTACGGGCTGGAGTGGCGGCGCACGGAGGCGGAGGGCGGCGCGGTCGACGCGCTCGGCTGCGGCCTGCTCGTGGACGACACGGACGCGCACTGTGAGTTGCGCCTCGCGCGCGCTGGCGTCTACCACTACTACTTCGTGTACGACAGCCCGTGAGTCGCTTCTTCTTACTCCTGAAACAGGTTTATCGATATTAGACGTATTTTAATTCAACATTGGTAAAATTGAATGCATCACGATGCATCGAGGAAAACAATGTTATCACAATTTTTAATTCAAAGCTTTTCTCTTCTTAGAAATTATTTTACATCTTTGTAAACAGAAGAGAGAGAACTTTATGTGATGTGTAAATAATTGTTGGTGTTAGAGTTTACTTTAACGTGTGATATGTTGTAATGTGACGCAGAGAGTCGCGCGTGGGGCCGCAGGGCTCGGGCTGGTTCCACGTGGAGCCCACGCTGGTGGCGGGCGGCGAGCGGCTGCCGCTGGACGCCGTGCTGTGCCAGACCGTGCTGGCCAAGTGCCTGGGCCCGCTGCCGCGCTGGCGGCGCGCGCTGCGCCTGGCGCACGAGGCCGGCTACAACATGCTGCACTTCACGCCCGTGCAGCAGCTGGGCGCGTCCGGCTCCTGCTACAGCCTAGCTGACCAGCTGCGCGTGGACGCGCGCTTCGCCGACCCCGCCGACCCCGCCGCCGCGCCCAGCTTCGCCGACGTCGAGAGCGTCGTCGCCGACATGCGCAACGAGTGGAAGGTTCGTTTGCCTACTCGAGGTGATGCTTGTTATGTCCAAATAATATTATACTAATGAGTGAAGGTAGACACCATTATACCAAAGATTGTTAAATATGTCCTTGTGCGCTAGATGCTGTCGATCTGCGACGTGGTACTTAACCACACGGCCAACGAGACGCCGTGGCTGAGCGAGCACCCCGAGGCCACGTACAACTGCCACAACTGCCCGCACCTGCGGCCGGCGGCGCTGCTGGACGCGCTGCTGGCGCGCCTCGGCGCCGACGTGGCGACCGGCGCGCTGGAGCCCGATGTGCCGCGCCTCATCGCGCAGCACGAGCACGTGGACGCGCTGCGCCGCGAGCTGCTGCGCCGCCTGGCCGCCGCGCGCCTGCACGAGCTGTACCAGGCCGACGCCGACGCGCTCGTGCGCCGCTTCTGCGCATTGGCCCGCGCCCGCGTGCCCGTGCCCGCCGCCCCCGCAGTCCCCGCCGCACTGGCGCTGCGCCCCGACGCGCAGCGCCGCCGCCTAGCCGCCGACGTGGACATGGAGCTGGCGCTGCGCCTGTACAACGTGCGCCGCGCCGACTGCGCCGACGAGGACGCGCGTGTGCGCCGCTGCGGCGAGGAGCTGCGCCGCCGCCTGGAGCAGCTCAATGAGGCCGCGGCCGCCGCCGTGGCGGAGCACCTGCGCGCCGCCGCCGACAACGTGGCGGCCGGCGTGCGCTACGAGCGCCTGCAGGCCGACGGGCCGCGCCTGGGTGAGGTGAGCGCGCGCCGCCCGCTGGCGCCGCGCTACTTCACGCTGCCCGAGGCGGGCGCGGCCGCGGCGGAGGCGGAGGCGCTGGTGTACGGCGCGGGTGGGCGCCTGGTGATGGCGCACAACGGCTGGGTGATGGACGCCGACCCGCTGCAGGACTTCGCGGCGCGCGAGCACGACGGCCGCGTGTACCTGCGCCGCGAGCTGCTGGCGTGGGGCGACAGCGTCAAGCTGCGCTACGGCGCCGCGCCCGAGGACTGCCCCTTTCTGTGGGCGCGCATGCGCGAGTACGTGTGCCTTACGGCGCGGCTGTTCGACGGGCTGCGCCTGGACAACTGCCACTCCACGCCGCTACACGTGGCCGAGCACCTGCTGGACGCGGCGCGCGCCGTGCGCCCCGACCTGTACGTCGTGGCCGAGCTCTTCACCAACTCCGACCACGTCGACAACATCTTCGTCAACCGCCTCGGCATCACTGCGCTCATTCGTGGTACGCTCCCCATACTTACGCAGATAGGCCTCTAGTTTTTTACAATCATAAAGCGATTGCAATGAAAATTTAGTAGTCAGTAATTATTGTATGGCTTATAACTTAAAAGTTTTATGTTTTAATTTGTTCCAATTAGGACATTAATGCCCGATTTCACCAACATCCCTTAAGGTACCACCTACGTATGGGATCCCTAGCTTAAAATCTCCCCCAAAACCAACCCCTAAATTAAATCTCGTGTTCAACACTAGTGTCTACTTTGTCTTCAAACAACGGTATTTTGAAACAATCTTCTTCCTCTGCCTGGCATTATTAATCCCGGCTATTGCCGGGGTCTGTCTTCCTGCTAAGCCTCCTCCATTTTGCACGGTCTTTAATGTCATCCTGTGTAAGTCCATTGGCTCTCATGTTCTGCTTCACGACATCCAGCCATCGTTTTCTGAGCGCCCGGGAGGTCTTGTTCCAGGGACAGACATATCAAGGCACTTCCTTCCGACATAGTCCTCAGACCGACGCATTTTGAAACAATATAACTTTTTAACAAACTCTCTTAAGTAGGTATATGCTTATATGGATACATTTATTAATAATTGTGCTTTGATAATAAATTCAAGTTTTTAATAAAAAAGAAGAAGAAAATTGTACTGTAGGCCAAAAACTCCGAGCGAAGCTCGGTAGGCCAGGTACTTTTATTATAATGTTAGAAAGAGAAAGCGTACTGTAAATTTCACTATGGATGAGAAAGACAAAACGGTATAATTGGTTTATACATACTTTATACATTATATATATATTGGTCATATAACTTGGTCATTGTCGATATATTTTTGATCTGCGATTGTTATTTACGTCGAACATTGTAGAAGCAGTTTCTAAATTCTCAAAAAGTTCATATATGTCACTTATCTATATTCGTTACTTGAGAGCTCAGTTAATGATGTGCCGGTTTAAGAGCCCATATTTCTAGTACCTATATTTAGGGGGCATTTTAATATTTAGGTGACCCCCTAACCGTCGGTGAAACAGAAACTGTCCCCTAACAGCCCCCTAACCATGTTCAGGGGATCCTTTAAACTTAGGTGACGTCGGTGAAATCGGCCATAAATAATTCGATAGAACAGTTTTGTAATCGTTGCTACGTGCGGTGTGGTCGCAGAGGCGCAGAGCGCGTGGGACGCGCGCGAGCAGGGCCGCCTGCTGCACCGCTACGGCGGCGCGCCCGCCGGCGCCTTCGCGCGCGCCGCGCGCCGGCCCGCCGCGCCGCGCGTGGCGCGCGCGCTGCTGCTTGACGTGACGCACGACAACCCCAGCCCGCTGCAGCGCCGCAGCGTGTTCGACGCGCTGCCCACGGCCGCGCTGGTGGCGGCGGCGTGCGGCGCAGCGGGCAGCACGCGCGGCCTGGACGAGCTGGTGCCGCACGCCGTGCACGTGGTGGACGAGGCGCGCCTCTACGCCGAGTGGGCCGGCGGCGACGAGGCGCCGCTGCTGGCCGCGCGCCGCGCGCTCAACGACCTGCACCGCGAGCTCGTGCTCGACGGCTACGACGAGGTCTTCGTGGACCAGATGGACGACGACGTGGTCGCCGTCACCAGACACAATCCGCGCAATAGGAAGGTGATTACCGCTTTATTCTTTCATGCTCGTCAAGACCGAGTCGAATCATTGATGTGTTTAAGATAAACGTCTTCCCTGGTCGGAGACAGAAAATGCGTGTATTATCAAAAAGTTTACAGGAAAAATGAAAAACAAAAAATGTTAAATAACTATGGAACTATAGCTAGTAACCGGTAGATTATGATATCATATGAAAGATATTTTTTGTCGTTATCCCCTAGTTTATAAGTTTGCTTTAAGCATTTTTTTACAAACAAACAGAATATATTTCACACTTAATTGTTTAAGGTTTAAGGCCAATTAAATTTTGCAATATTACTTTTACACTATTATTCGTCCATTTTTTTTGTTTCTTTTCTCTGCAATGAGGTAATATACTTTTATTGAGGGTTCATTTACCTGTAGATCTGTAAAGGCAACCATCTATTACACGTTTGTTCCTGTGCATATAAAACTATACTCATGACGTTTCTACAAATATCGTGTTTTGTGGAGTACCTTATTATTTAAAGATACGCATAAAAAGTGCACGGGAATAAACGTGTATTGACTTCCCTTCCCTCCGGACCTCTGAACTGTACGGACGTGTGTTCAATAACTTTGCTTATTTTATTCATTTTTTGGACTTTAATATTGAAAAATCATTGTAAAATAATGGGGCAACATACATAAAGAGGAGTAATATCAACGCTTCTGAGCTTCGAGCCTGCCAATAGTATGTATTAACATATTTTCTTATTACGCGAAGAGGAACTTAAAGTCGCCAAAGTAAGAGCTTATTACGCTGGTTGGTAGCGAAAGCGAGATAACACTATTACTCATCGTTTATCCTTGAAGAGATCAACTTATGCTAGACGGAAAGCCGGTTTGTACGACGCCACCGCTTGCTTGACCATTTTGAAGACCCCTTAACATTAGATCGCCTGCACTCAAACGTTTTTTCTGGTTGCCTAGTACATTGTATATTGTAAGCAGAAACATGCCGCTAAACCGTACGCCGCCACTTGCAACTCATGCGCTTACAACAAGTAACATCGCCCGCACTTCGTCTGAGCCTCATATTAGCGGAGATAGCGTTACTATTAGCGAGTTATTAGATACCAGTACCCCAAAACCTACGTTTAGAAACATTAAAAGAAAGCGTTCGGAATCAGATGGCGACTTCAATTACTTTATTACGGAACTAAGACAAATGTTTCATGAGCTTAAAGTGGACCAGTCTAGTAAAATTGACAAGCTGTGCTCTGCTGTCGAAGATATGCGCTCTTCAGTTACATTTCTAGCAGATAAATATGAGTCGCTGCTATCTAAGTACGAAAAACTGGAATTAGAGCGAAACGGCGATCTCAAATATATTAAATTATTAGAGGACAAAGTTGAAAATTTGGAGAGTCATTCCAGGTCAACTTGTGCTGAAATCAGGAATATCCCGATAAATGCTGGTGAGACTAAGGACCATCTTATAAATACCGTAGTAAATACCGGAAAGGCCCTTAATATTGATATCCAACGCCATGAAATAAAAGATGTCTTTAGAATCAAAACAAAAACTCCCAATAATAAAATTTTATTGGTGGATTTCTCCAGTGTTATAACGAAAGAAAAACTGATCAGTGCTCATCGGAAGTTTAATAGGGGTAAAACAAAGCTGACAACTGAGCACTTGGAAATTAGCGGCGTCTCCAAGCCTGTCTTTATCTCCGAAAATCTTACTTTTAAAATGAAAAGAATTTTCTTTTTAGCCTGAGACAACGCTAAATTCAATGGCTTTGCCTTCTGCTGGGTTTCTCATGGAAAAATCTATATTCGAAAAAAGGAGGGCGATCCTCTTATTCGAATAGCCAGCGAATCTGATCTTGCACAAATACAAAAATGACTATTTTGTATAAGAGGATTTTTCATATTTACTAAAGTTGTAATTTGTAATTTTTATATACATTTTAAGCATGTTTCATTATATATACAGTACACTAAATATATACACACACATTCACTCTCATATACACAATTCAAATATGTACATTCTTCGTCTCTTTTTTGATCCAGCTAACCAAATCAGCTCGCTTTTACTCACCTGTTAATCTTTAACCCCAAGTATGGATGATATTAACTCAATAGCGTACGATGTTGAACAGCTGTCTATATCTAAATCATATTTATGCTCCCCTGAAGATGTTCCCTTATATACAGCTCATGTGAAAAACTCGTTTAAAATATACGTAGCATATTTGAAGTGGACATTGTAATCTTGTCTGAATGCTGGTTAAGAAAAACTCCTGTTGTTCCCATATTAAATGGCTTCAGGGTGCATGCTTCTGCACACCTTAACCAAAATGATGGAGTTGTTGTATGACTTTTATTTTAATATTTTAATACATTTTGAAATAAAGTTTTAAGAGCTTACATTGCATTTAATGCTATTTTATCCTATAGGTACGACGCTTTATTATATTACATATAATTCGTATTTTCTCAGCACTTACATAACTTAACCCCTAACTAATGAATAATTTGCAGTCTGTGATCGTGGTGGCGGTGACGGCGTTCAAGCCGCCGGAGCCCGCGTGCAGCGGCCGGCAGTTGCGGCCGCTGCGCTTCGAGGGGCAGCTGGAGGAGATCCTGCTGGAGGCCACGTTGCGGCACCGTGACCACCGCGCCACCGGCCGCGCCTGCCAGCCGCCCGGCGCCTTCGTGCGCCACCCCGCCGTCATCAACGGCTTGCGCGAGTACGAGTGCGCCGTGCGCCGTGCCGTGCCGCCCGCGCACGCCGCGCTCGTGGCCGCCGTACGCCGCGACGCGGGCGCCACCGAGCTGGCCTTCCGCCCGCTGCCGCCCGGCGCCGTGCTAGCGCTGCGCGTGGCCCCGCTGCCCGCGCCCGCCGCCGCGCTGCGCCGGCTGCGCGCCGCCCGCGTCGCCGTGCCGCGCGCCTGGCGCGCTCGCCGCGCTTGACCTCGCCGACTTCAACACGCTGCTCTACTGCTGCGACGCCGAGGAGCGCGAGCGCTGCGGCGGCGGCGCATACGACGTGCCCGGCCACGGCCCGCTGGTGTACGCCGGCCTGCAGGGTGTCGTGTCGCTGCTGGACGAGCTGGCGCCGCGCGACGACCTGGGCCACGCGCTGTGCGCCAACCTGCGCGCCGGCGACTGGCTGCTGGAGTACCAGTGGCGGCGGCTGGAGGGCGACGCGCGGCTGGCGGGCGTGGCGGCGTGCTACCGCGACGCGCTGAGCCCGGTGGCCGAGCTGCCGCGCTTCCTGGTGCCCTGCTACTTCGAGGCGGTGACGCGCGCTCTGCACGCGGAGGTGACGCGCGCGGCGCTGGCGCGGCTGGGCGACGCGCGCGGTTCGCTGCGGCGCGCGCTGGCGCTCACCGGCGTGCAGCTGGCGGCGCGCGTGCGCTCGGCGCCGCTGCCGGCGGTGGGCGCGGGGGGAGCGGGGGACGCGGCGTCGCTCAGCGCGGGGCTGCCGCACTTCGCAGTGGGCTACATGCGCTGCTGGGGGCGCGACACCTTCATCGCGCTGCGTGGCCTCTTCCTGCTCACGGGCCGGTACGAGGTGAGCGGACGGTTCACTCCTTAAACTACGAACATCTTAAAGAGAAATAGTTTAGAGAAATAAAGTAATAATTCGAGGCTAAAAAGTACTACACGAGCGTATTTCTAGATACTTATATCACGAGCTTTTGACAGAATGTAGTATGAAGGAATATCTATACTAATATTATAAATGTGAAAGTGTGTTTGTTTGTCCTTCTTTCACGTCGAAACTGAGTGCCGGATTGGCGTGATTTTTTTGTGTGAAGATAATTAGAGGCCTGGAGGATGACATAGGCTACTTTTTACCGCGGAAGATTATCTCATTTCCACGGGAAAACACGTTATAATATAACCCAAAAAATATTTGTTATCAGGATTACTTAAAACTTGGTATTAATGTTCTTTCATACAGTTAAATAAATACATACGTGTTTTAGCATTTTTCAATATTTTTGTTAAATAGGGCATGAAAGTTTGTATGAAACCTACCTTTTTAGAGTTTTTTTTTGTAGTTTTGTAGTTGTTCTGCTAGATATTACATAAAGTAAAATCTTTCATTATTAATTATTTATACGGATCAGATAAGTTTGTGGCATTGTACGTTTATGTGACCGATAGAGAGACAGTTTTTAAAATCGATGTTTCGTCGGCCAGGACGCGCGCAATCACATCCTCGGGTTCGCGGCGTGCTTGCGCCACGGCCTCATCCCCAACTTACTTGACGGCGGCCGCAACGCGCGTTACAACTGCCGCGACGCCGTGTGGTGGTGGCTGCTGGCCCTGCAGCAGTACTGCGCCGCCGCGCCGGACGGCGCCGCGCTGCTGGCCGCGCCCGTGCGCCGCCTGGCCGCGCCCGATGCCGCGCCCGCGCCGCTGCACGACCTCGTGCAGGAGGCGCTCGACGTGCACTTCCAGGGGCTCGTGTTCCGCGAACGCAACGCCGGCCGCCAGATCGACGCGCACATGTCCGACAAGGGCTTCAACGTGCAGATCGGCGTGGACCCCGAGACCGGCTTCCCCTTCGGCGGCAACGACGCCAACTGCGGCACGTGGATGGACAAGATGGGCTCGTCGGAGGCGGCCGGCACGCGCGGCAAGCCCGCCACGCCGCGCGACGGCAGCGCCGTGGAGCTGGTAGCGCTGGCGTACAGCACGGTGACGTGGCTGGCGGCGCAGCACCACGCCGGTCGCCACCCCTACCCTGGCGTGGCGCGCCGCCACCGCGACGGCGCGCTCACCGCCTGGACCTGGGCGCAGTGGGCCGAGCGCATCCGCCGCGCCTTCGAGCGCCACTTCTGGGTGCCGGCCGCGCCCTCCGCCGCCGACGCGCGCCCCGACCTCGTGCACCGCCGCGCCATCTACAAGGACACGCACGGCGCCGAACGCGCCTGGGCCGACTACCAGCTGCGCTGTAACTACCCCGTGGCCATGGCCGTGGCGCCCGACCTCTTCGACCCCAAGCACGCCTGGCTCGCGCTCGACAACGTGGAGCGCCTGCTGCTGGGCCCGCTCGGCGTCAAGACGCTCGACCCGGCCGACTGGGCCTACCGCGGCGACTACGACAACTCCAACAACAGCGACGACCCCAGCGTCGCGCACGGCTTCAACTACCACCAGGGCCCCGAGTGGGTCTGGCCCATGGGCTTCTACCTGCGCGCGCGCCTCGCCTTCGCGCACGAGAACGGCAAGTACGCCAAGACCGTGGCGGCCGCCTACGCCGCGCTGGCGCCGCACGTCGCCGAGATAACCTCCTCGCCGTGGCGTGGCCTGCCCGAGCTCACCAACGCGGGCGGCGCCTTCTGCCGCGACTCGTGCCGCACGCAGGCCTGGAGCTCGGCCGCTGTGCTCGAGGCGCTGCACGACCTGGAGCAGGCCCGCCGCGCGCGGCCGCTGCCCGCCGACTGACGCGTCCTCCGCGGCCGCCCGCGCCTTGTGCGCCACGCGCCGCGTCCGCCCCCCTCACCGCCCGCCCCGCCTGCGCTCTACGCCGAGCCCTACGAGAGCACGCCGCCGCGTCGCGCTGCCGCGCTGCGCCGCTTGCTGCCGCGGCGCCGCGCGCGCGCCGCCTCAGTGCGCCTCTCGCGCGTGTACAACGAGCTGCTGCCCGCGCGCGCCGCCACGCTCAGCACTGTCGTCTACAGCGACCGCTACTTCCGGTACGGGCTGCCGTTGCGCGCCGCGCCGCCCGCCCACCACGCGCCGCCGCCCGCTCGCCCCGCGCCGCCCGCGCCCGGCGCCGGCGTGCTGCTGGACGCCCCCCGCAGCCGCGCCGCCCGCCTCCCCGCGCCACGCGCCGCTGCGCCGCGCGCGCCGCGACCTGCCGCGCGTGTTCGGCGCGCCGGCGCCCGGCCAATACGCCGCGCGCCGCCTGCCGTTGGACTACCGGCGCGGCGCGGCCGGCGCGCCGCCCGCCCCCGCGCCTGCGCCCGCACCAGACGCCGAGCGGCGCTGGCGCTGCGACTCGCCCGTCGGCAGCCGGTGCTCGTCCAGCGAGTGGGCGCCGCGACCGCAGTTCGCGCTGGAGGAGCCGGCGCGCGAGGCGGCGGCGGTGTACGAGACGGCGGCAGCGGAGGCGTACGGCGCGCTGGCCAAGGAGTCGCGGGCGGCGGCGGTGAACTCGGCGGGCGCGCTGCGACGCAAAGTGCTGAACACGGAGCGCTACGTTCGCGGCGCGCGCGCGCTGCGGCGCGGCTCGCGCGCCCAGCGCGCCGCGGTGCGCGCGCTGCTGACGCTCAGCGGCGCCTTCTACGCAGTGGCGCTGCTCGCCTTCTACTTCTTGAGCCTCGCCTGACCGCTTCGTGTGCCATATTATGGTTTAGTCAATAGATCGAATAGCCAGTGACATGTAGATACATAATTATTGTAACATAATGTTATAAATATAGTGTCATGTATAAATGATACTCTATCAACTTTGTATTTTTATATATTTTTTTACTTCATCAAATCTCACAACGAATCTTTCTTTATCGAGTTATTTCCTCAAATAAAATTAAGTAACAAAACAGTAACGTTACAATAATTGTATCCGACTGATGCAAACTCGATAATTTAGTGTTTTTTGTTGTTGTTAACTATGTCAGATGTTAGTTATATGATTATGTAAGTAATCTTATACAGTGATGCCGTGCTCTGCCTCATGTATTATTTTCTATTATTGATGTCATTCTTTTTTATTAATAATACTTAAATATATTTTAGATGTGTGACATCTTTACTCTCGCTTTCCTACAATATGTGGGAATGATTCCGTGAAAAGGGGCGGAAGTGTAGTACAGGAAAGCAGGGAAGCGCGTAAAAATTTTACTCTCATATTTTTTTCCAAATGTGCCAAAAGAAGTATAATTACAAAAATACTATACAACATTCAAAATTCTCTTCAAACTTTAGTCAGCTTAATTAGATCACAAATGGAAATCTAATAGCAAGTTTAAGTTTAATTAGAGTAAAATAAACATAATAAGGTGAGATGCCAGATGTTATACATCATATGCGACTACTGTAAGACTCGCTCGTTTACTTTTTTTTATATAATATGGCAGCTATGATATTGAGACGAATGCTGTGACACTGAGCGGCTATTCATATTAAAATAAAATACAATATTTTTACATAAGTCATATAATATATTATTAAATTTATATAAGGTTTATTTATTTGAGAGTTTCTTATACACAAATGTTAGAAAATTATTATAAAATGTTATCAATATTCCTAGTAAATTTTAAAAATAACAAGATTTTAACTTTATTTCGCCCCAGACCTCGTTGTAGAATTATTTACAATTGCTTAAGCATACTAACATTTTTCCTTTTAATGAAAGTTGAAATTATTTGGAATTTAACACATAAATATTAGAACCAGATTTTAGACTAAACTTCACATTACAGCCGAAAAAGATAAATAGAGAACTGTATTTTTTTACCCGACTCAAAATGATAATATAAAATAATTTACTGTTACATGATGATATATTGCTCGGACTTAATGTAAATAGGCTATACATGTGGCGCCCTTCTTTCAAGAAATCTTCCTTATTAAAAAATTCGATCCTAAAACTCGCGAATTTTTAAGTCTTTAATTAAGACGTCTAGTCTGCCGAATACCACCGCCCGCCCAGAGCCATGACAATTTCGAGTCTCTGTCACCATAGATTGTAAATGAATAGTGAACTCTGTAATAATGCCAAGTGCCAACTGTGAACTGTCATTTGTCAGTTCTACTTCTAAATTTCTAAAGTTCTAAGACAGTTGTCAGTTTTTAAGCGCCCAAATGTTTGTTGACTTGACACAGAGCTAATAATAAAAGAAATCAATAGAATTTTATATTATTATTCTTCAATTAAAATTTAAAAATATATTGAGTGTAATGAAACTTGTGAGTTAATACTACAACTTGCTACCTACTTACGTCTTGTCTTTCTATATTTTATTATTATTTTGTGACCTTTACGTATACTATAGAGCTAATTAAAAACACTTGTGTTAATTATTATTAGTACGCTTTCACTGCGAATTTACCTACAGCTACACTATACTACACTGAGTGACTCCAATAAGAATGATTAGTAAGATTATTTTTTTTTAATTTTTTGTTAGTGTAATAAAATTAGTTAAAATAAACATTTACAACGCAGTTCTACTAATTTTCTGCTGTAATTTTTATAGATTTTTAAATTGATTTATTTTAAGTTCAAAATATACTCAAGAAACTTTTACAAGCAACTTATTTAATGATTAAATGTACTTAAAGCTTTACATTAATGCATAATGAAATGAAATAACCTTTATTCAATTAGACTTATTAAGAGTGCTTTTGAAAATTGCTCATAGCAAAGAAAGTCGAATGTGATATATAAATATGTACAATCCCATGAAAGTAAAGTGAAAATATACTTATTGTGTATTTTTCATTTATACAGTTGACATTGATTATGTACAAGAGCTTTTTTTGTCAGAAAAAAAATCTGTGAACTATTAGACATTATAAAAAGGTTTCATCTCCTGCAGGTGGATGACCGCATTATTTCTAAAAAATATGATAAGCAAGGAAAATGGTTCTGAATAAACAGAAAGAACATTTTGTAACAGAAAGATAATAATCTTTAATAGTTAGTAAAGACTTTAAGGCAATGAAATGAAAGTAGAAAGTTGTAATATTTTGTATTGGAAAGATTGGACTAGTATTGATATATTAAAAAAATATTTACAGTACATATAGAGATTTTTGGTTTACAAAAAGCTGTTTTAGTGTCAAAGAGAATTCCTCAAGTCACAAACTTATTTTGACTCATATAAAATTACTTTTTATTTAAACTATGTAACTGTTTTTACAAATGTATAATATATATTTTGTTGTTACTGTTATTGGACTGGAACTATAATTTGAACCAAATTCTTTGAGCTATTTTTGTTTTCGTTAGTAGGTGATCTGAAAACTATATGTTCTAAAATATAAAACAAATTTCAATTCCTTCATTTGTACTAATATAATCTCATATATCTCAAAATATTAAAAAATGCCATCTATAACTCAGTACACACTTACTATCTAATGTCTGATTTTCTATTAATCAATAAAATTACGAAATATTAAAACTATAGTCTGATTTTTAATTCGGCGGAACTCTGATAATTCAGAAATGTTGTCAGCTTTGAAACATTGTCACTAAAAACAGAAAGCATTTTAGCAAAACAAAAAAATAAACCTTTCTTGAATTTAAGGTTTCAATTACAAAAACTAAGACTTAAAAAATTATTGATAACTCTAAAATGGTAATATTTTTTTTATTATCATGTTATCGAAGTTAGAATAATTATTAAGGAAATTATTTTTCTATTACAGGAATCTCTGTCCAATAATACATAGGTTGCAAGCCTTTTTTAGGAAAACCACTTTGTTTGTAAAATCTTTGCAATTGGCAAAAAGAATTGAAAAGTCTCAAAAAGACAGGTCCACAACGAACATTCACGATTTTTTATTATTGTTTTTGGCAAGAATGCATAAACCATATTATAAAAAAAAGGATTAAATGTGCCCTCTTAATGATCTGATGGATAGTGTGAGTGATTCTTTTATAATCCGAGTGGATGATGACGACAAGGATGATATAAGTAATAATGATTACTAAATATTTTCATTTCTTATATTTTGTTTTACTCTGTTTTTTTTAACCAATAAAAAAATTTACATTATAGTTAGTGTGCATTGAATGCACAAAACAAAGACTATTTACAATGTCATACATATAGTTTACTTGATCTAATTCTGTTTCATATTTTTTGTTATTTTATATTAAAAAAATACAAAGCAGAAAAGGTTTATGATATTTGAATTGTCAAAGAATTATAGCTGTCATATTTCCGTGGAATTAAAAATCAGACTTTAGAATATACCTTTTTTAAGAACTATTTTTCATATTATATAATATTAATAATTAATATTACACATCAATTTCGGATAATATATAGCGCCATCTAATAACATATAATTAAACTAATTTTTCTTAGCAATTGCTGTCTTAATTCCGAAAACAATAATAATTTAAGGAAATGATATAACTGCCATTAGACTTAATATTGATGCATTGAAAATTGCTTTTCAGGACCATCATGTTCAGCCAACGTGTCTCTGAGAGAACGTCGTGCCACAGAAGTATCTTGAATACAGGACTTGCCTTGGTTTTTTTAATTATTTAATGTACAACATGTGTCCTATTATAAATTAATTAAGTTAAGTAGTATTGATTGATAATAGTAATTGTACAGTTTTATAACAAATGTTGAGTTCAAAAAATGTTGAGTTAGTGTGCCCTCTAGCGGCGAGTAGTGGTAGTAAATAAACATAGATATGATGCACTTTTGTAACTTTAAATATGTATGTATAAATAATGTTGCTTACGAAATTATAACTTTTTTAAGGACTTACTAAAACTATAACTGAAGAAGTAGTTGAAAGCTCAAAATAATTTGTTTAATATAGTAAAAGGACAACGTCAAAATATGTCTGGCTCACACAAATTATAAAATATTGAATTGCTACTTAGAGAATTATTAAATAATAATTTAAAATATACCTACCATTTTTTATGATTTACACATTGTAATAGTCTTAATCAAAGTTAATTCTTACAATTTAGTAGATAATGTACAGCTTGTAAAATTACATCGCTGAACTTAGTACTTAGTTTTTACACCTGTAAAATTTATGTCTACTTCGGGAGAAAACTAATTTGTAATGAAAATAATAACTTTATAGGTTTTGTATTTATTACTTTCAATTTTTTTTAATATTTATTATCCATGTAAGTATAGTTGACGTGTCTGTAGATACCAAGGTAAATTAAAAAATTTAAGATTTATAGGAATAAATTGTGTTCTATGATATTAATAGAAATATATAGATTTAAGAAACTGCCCAAATGTCAGCACAACCAATGAAGGTGACTGCAGGCACCGAAATGGCGATAGGGGCTCCTACGAACCCTGAATCACCTACTGGTAACCCTGCTGCCACCTCCACCGACGCTGCTCGACCCAAACGTAAAAGATTGAGTGGGGCAGCTCTAATCCGTCTTAAGGCTCTAAGGGGACAGGGAGTGGAGGCTACAAAAGCCTACAAACTGTCCTCTAAAACCTTTGCGGAACTCAGGGCTATGGGGTATCGATTTGATGTTTCGAAACCCGAATCCGAGCGTTCTATCAAAAGAACTCGCTCGGAGGAGGAATCACCACAGGGACAACCAGCGAGAAAGTCCCAAAGGTCGAGCGAAGCACCGTCGGCCCCTCC